TTTATTCTCCACAACAGCCCTCAAGGGTTGACAAGAGAGCTATTAAATTTCTCAAGACTGACAGGGGCCTTCTATTAGGAAACGTACATGGAAGAGACAAAAATCAAACAAGAAAGAAAATAAACACACCATGTAATTTCAGAAAAAATTGAGAAAAGAACATAAGAGCTATATGGGACACACTGAAAAGTTCTGCCAAGCACATAATTGGAATCCTAAAAGGAGAGGAAAGAGAAAATAGGACTCTAAGGAAAGTCCAAGCAGGGCAAGGGGACAGAGGGTGATGGTGAGGTGAGGTGGGTATATTTCCTGGGATGGTGATATTTGAGCTGAGAACTGAATGACCAGAAGACGTCAGCCAGGAGAAGGCATGAGCAAAAAGCATTCCAGAGAGAAAAAACAACCACGAAGGCTGTAATCGAGAAAGAAACAAAGTGTGCCTGAAGAATACCAAAAAGACTAGTGTGGCTGAAACACGATGAGTGAGAATAAGAGCTGAGTGAAATATGGTTGGAGACACAGGCAGGTAGGGCCTTGTGGATCCTACCTAAGCAGCCAGAAGAGGAGGATTCATCGAACATTCCTTTTGCTGACCAACGTTCCCAGTCTCTTTAATCGACAAAGCACAAAGTTGATTATTAAGTGGGTCCAGGTGACTAGCTCTAGTCGGTGGACTGCGGGCAGAAGTGATTTGTATCATTCCTGGGCTGCAGCATCAAAGAGCTAGCACCGGAATGTCAAGCTGTTTTTCTCTTCAGGCGACAAAGCCAGAAGGTCAAAATAGGTTGAATCATTGAGTTGCAACATGAAGACAGTTGCCCTTATGAGTCATACAGACTCTCGGTAGACTTTAAGCAAGAGAGAAATAAACCTTTGTGCTATTAAGACATAACATGCTGATTCTGACTAATATTACGTGGTGAGGAGTTTGGATTTTATTCTAAGTGTAATAGGAAGTCATTTGAAATTTTAAGCAAGAGAGTGATGAGATTATATACATGCTTAAATGATCAATTTGCTGTGTGTAGAATAGATTATGAGGAGGAGGAACAGGATAAATCAGGAGACCAGTTATAAGTATTGAAGTTAATCTAGGTGTGAAAAAATGGTGGCTTGAAATCAGGGGTGGTAGAGGAGGTGGTGAGTTGAATTCAGGACATATTTTGAAGATAGAACTAACAAGACTGATGGAAAGACTCCGAGGTTTAAAGATCTCTCCCAAAGAATAGGAAAAAGAGAGAGAGAGAATACTTCCCAACTCCTTTCACAAAGTCAGCATAACCTTGATATCAAAACTTGACAATAATATTACAAGACACATAAATGCAAAAATCCTAAACAAAGTATTTGCAAACCAGGTTCAGAAATACATAAAGTTGAAAATAGATCATAATAAAATTGGATTTGTTCCAGGGATGCAAGTTTGTTTTAACATTCACATATCTAATAATGTAATTCATTAATAGAATAAAGGAGGAAAATAATCTCAATAAATGTAGAAAAGTCATTTGATAAAATTCAACACTCATTCATGATTTTTTAAAAACCCTCTTAGCAAGTTAGGAATAGAACTTCTTTAACCTCATCGGAGTACTATAAAAACCTACTAGTACACATCATACTTAATGGTGAAATACTGAAAACATTTTCCTTAAGGTCAAGTATGAGAGAAGGATGTATTCATCATCCCTTTTATTCATCCCTGTATCTAGATGTCCTGCCCAGTGGAACAGGCACCAAAAGAAAAAGAAGGAGAAAGAGGAGCAGGGGGAAGGTACAGTTCAGGAAGGAAGAAATAAAACTCTCATTATTTACAGATGACATAATTGAACCTATGGAAAATCTTGAAGACTCTGTGGAATAATGATTAAAACTGATAAGTGAATTTATCAGGATCACTGGATGGAAGTCGAAGATATAAAGATCAATTATATTTTTATATACCAGCAACAAAAAATTACAAAGTAAAAAAATATTAAATGATAGCATTTACGATAGCATCAAATTCATCAAATACATAGGAATAAATCTAACAAAAGCTATGTAAGGATATCTACATGGAAAACTACAAAACACTGTTGAGAGAAAATTTAAAAACCCAAAAAATGAAGTGCTATACTATGTTCATGGATTGAAAAATCAATATTATAAAGATATCAATTCTTTTTTGTTTGTTTGTTTTGGCAGGGAGAGATTGGCCCTGAGCTAACATCTGTTGCCAATCTTCCCCCCTTTATTTTCTCCCCAAAGCCCCAGAGCATGGTTGTACATCCTAGTTGTAAGTCCTTCTAGCTCTTCTATGTGAGCTGCTGCCACAGCATGGGTGGTGTGGTTCCATGACCAAGAAATGAACCCAGGCCACTGGAGTGGGAGCACCAAACTTTAACCACTAGCCATCAGGCTGGCTCAAGATATTAATTCTTTAAATACTTGATTCACAGTATCAATGTAATTCTAAAAAAATTTCCAGCAGAGGTTATATTTTTGTGGAGATTGACCAGCTGACTCTCAAGTTTATATGGAGATACAAAAGGAAAGGCCAAGAATAACAAAAACTTGAAGATGAACAAGGTTTGAAGACCACCAGATATTAAAACTTATTATAAAGCTACAATAATTACCACCAGGTGGTATTGTCAATTGCTAGAAAGATAGGCTAATGGATCAGAAAGATAGGCTAAAAGATCCAAAACCAGACCTACAGATATGTGGACATTTGATTTATGCCAAAGGGGACACTGAACACTAGCAGGGATAGGATAATCATTTCAGTAAGCAGTGCTCTGTCGGATATCCACCGAAAAGTAAATTTGATCCTTACTTCATTCCACACACAAAAATCAAATCCAGGTTGATTGTAGCTCTAACTGGGAAATGTAAAACAATGAAACAGCCAGAAGGTAACAGAAGAACATCTTCAGGGGAGGAAAAGATTTCTTAAACATGGCACAGAAAGCGCTAATGATGGAGGAAAAGATTGATAAATTACTACATTGAAATTAATAACTTATGTTCATCGAAAGACATCATTTAAAGAAAAGAAGACCAGTTACAAAGTGGGAGAATATATTTGAATATATATAAGCAACAATGGACTTTTAACTTGAATATTTAAAGAATTCCTTTAAGTCAATAACCAGAACATACAAACAAATAGAGAAATGGACAAGAACTTGAACAGGTACTTCACAACAGAGGATATCTATATGGCTAATAAAAACACGAAAAGGTACTCAACTTTATTATTTATCAGAGAAATGAAAATTAAAACCACAATGATATGCTGCTACATATGCCCAAATTTCCAAAATGACAGTGCCAATTATTGGGGAGGATGAGAAGCAACTAGAACTCTCATACATCGCTAGTGGGAATGTTAATTGGTACAGGCACTTAGGGAAACTGGCTGTATTTACTATAGTTGAACATATACATACCCAGTGCCTGAGTAATTCCAGCCCTAATTATATGCTCAAGAAATGTATACATATGTGTGTATATGCTTGTGTACAAAAACATATGTTCAAGACTGTTCATACTAGCACTATTTATAATTGCCCCAAGCTAGAGACAACTCAAACGCCCATCAGTAGAAGGGATAAACAAGTTCTGGTGTATTCATACAACAGAGTACTATACAGCAACAAAAATGAACGAACCATTGTGAGAGACAGATGCCTAAGGACTCCCAGCTTTTCCAGCCTCAGCTGTTTGAGTCTGCCCAGACTTGGCCCCAAATACATGTGTGAGGGAGCCTCTGAGATGATCCCAGCCCAGCCACTATCCGAACACAACAGCAGGAGAAACATGGAGCGAGGACAGCCTAGCTGAGCCCAGTCAAGCTGCACATTTAAGAGCAAAATAAATCATCCTGACTATTTTAAGCCACTGTTTTAGGGATGCATGTTATACGGCAGTAGATAACCAGAATATACATTCAAGTACTTAGGGAAAAAATAAAATAGAATGTTAAATTTATAAATCCATTTAAAAATGTTTAAGGAAATTTAATTAGCTAAGTTTGTAAAAATCCCTCTAAAAACTATTGTTTAGCGGCCCGCCTGGTGGTGCAGTGGTTGAGTTCACGTGCTCCACTTCAGCGGCCCGGGGTTGGCCAGTTCAGATGCTGGGCGTGGACCTACACACCGCTCGTCAAGCCATGCTGTGCTGGCATCCCACAGAAGAACTAGAAGGACTTGCAAGTAAGATATACAATTATGTACTGGGGCTTTGGGGAGAAAAAAAGAAAAACAAAGAGGAAGATTGGCAACAGTTGTTAGCTGAGGGCCAATCTTCCTCAAAAAAAAAAACCACCATTGTTTATTGCTAGGGTCATAAACAGATCAAGAGATTTGCAAGCTGAACTTAAAAACTTAAGGAAAAACTAGGTTTTTAAATTTCTATTTCCATAAATTGAATCTTAGTTGAAAACAAAAACCCAAATGTCTTGGCTGGCTGACTTCATTGATCCTCTCAGACAGTTGAAAGAAACAACACAGGGAAAGGAATGGAGTGATTTATTGAACGCTTACCAGGTGCCCCGCCACCACCCAGGTGCTCTCCTGAATTGACTGGTTAAGTCCTCACAACAGCCCTGTGAGGTGGATGTTCTAATCCCCGCCTTACAGAGGAGGCTTGGGGAGGCTGTGGCACCCGCCCAAGATTCTGCAGGCGGTAAAGGACGGAATCTGTGCTTTTGCACGCTCGGCTGCCTTCTCCTGGAAGGAAGGCTGGTGAGGGTGAATCTCTAAAAGTCACTCAGGGCCCGGGGTGTGACTGCGTTCTGGCATCTTCTGTGTCTGCTCCGACAGTGCCAGTGAGCCTTCCAGGGGGTGAGGAGAGGGGTGTGCATCCAAGCGACCTTCCTGTGAAGATTAACGTGGCCAGAAAAAGATGGCCCACTGGTCCTTAAAGTTCAGGGGTGTGGATGGGAGCCAAGGGGGCCCGTCCCCTGGACATAACTTGAGAGTAGCTTTGGCGAGGAGTTCTAGAAGCTGTGGAAAGAAAAAGAGGAAGAATTTCAGCGCTATGTCTCCAGATAGCTTGCCTGACGTCACAGGATTCCTATCAGTTTCTTTTTCCTCTACCAATTCCCAATGTTTTAAGTGTACCCAATGCCTGACATGATAGGGATGGTTATATCTTTGAATCATTTTATTCTAGAATATTAGTTGAGGCAGCTTTGAATTGCGTAGTCCAATCCTCTCATGTTACAGGTGGAGAGACCAAGAGATCAACTTCCGTTGCTTCCTATGGAGAATCTGTAGAACTCTACTTCCTATCTAACACTACTGAATGAGTTTTTAAAAATCTGTGTAGAAAAATGGTGAGTTTCATAAGACCCCTGTCTTTTATTTTTACAAAGAGAACGGTAGGTAAATGAGGCCTGTAAAACATCAGTAGAAGCGGGCATAGGTTGGGCTGGGAGATGCCATGGGTTGCTGTGGTCCAAGGGTCAGAGAGGGAACTGCTAACTCTAAGTCCCCAGACGGAACACGGAGCCCTGGCAGGTGGAGTGGCACTGCCATCTAGACACTCAGAGCCTGAGAGCCCGGGCAGCTTCTGCCCTGCCACCTCCAAGGGCAAGTTTTCTGCCCCATGAGTCTTTCCGGTGGTTCTGTGAGAAATGTGAAGTTTCACAACAGTGACAGCTCCCCAAGCACCTCACAGCCACTTCACAGGGAGAGAGCCTGAAGACAGGCTGATGGTGATCTGTCTGCCCTGAGCAAATGAAGGAAACAGACGGCGGTCTGGCCACCGCTCAGTTCCACAGGGCCTGAGGAGCTAGCGTGTGTTTTGTTTGGGTCTCCAGCTTTCCGCTGTCCCATTTGTTCTCAGGGGGTCTGCCCCAGTTGCCACCTTCACTGGAAAGCCAGACTGGGGGAAATAAGAGGGGAAATCAGGTACCCCTGACAGAGAGAGACAGAGAGAGAGGAGGAGATTACTAAACAATTCTACAAACAACAGAAGTTTTAAATACTTTACACTTTAACTTGGCACTTTATAGCTTACAAACTGCCTTTATATACCTTGTCTCAGTTGCTCCTCACAGCAACCTGGTAACGCAGACAGAGCCTACCTGTCTACCTATAAGTGGGTATTAATTATCTATTAGACTAATAGTCCTGTTCTGCAGATGAGGAAATGCTCTTGACGCTGGTTAAACGGCAGGACTAGAGTCAGACCTTGGAATCACAGAATCACAGCATCACAGAATTAGAAGGCACCTTAACAGCAATAATCTAAGGCATGCTTCTCTCACAGCCTGAATCACCTTATAAAAGCAGAGATTTCTTCTGGTCCCTGCTGGAACTCTTCCAGCGACGAGTAACTCACTACTCTGTGAGGCAGGCCATTATTAACACTGAGCTGAAACTCTTCTCCTTGGAGCTTTCAGCCTTTCATTCTTTTCTGCCCTCAAGAGCAACACCAAAGGAAGGGAAACTCTAATTCCCCTTCTTTTTGAAATTTGAAAATATTACTCTTGCCCATGTCTTGCAGATGAAACATCTTCAGTTCTTTCCACTGTTAGTCATGATTACTCACGATGTGACTGCCTAGCACAGTGCCTGAAATAGATGCAGATACTCAAAAAATGTTTGCTGAATTGGTCCTCTGGCCCTTGGTACTGTGTCATGCTTCCGGGCTCCTCTCTGACCGCAATTAGCTTTCATGCTGCAACCTGTTTCTCATTTGTTTGTTTATTTAAATAATAGAGAGAAAGGAAACAATATGTAGTTTTTATTTTCAAACCACAGAGTTTTCACAATAACTTAAAAATGTAATTAAAGTTGGCCAAATTTCAGACAGCTTTCAATTAATTTGTGGTAATGGACTCATTATCTGACTTAATGGACCACTTCAAAGATGCGGTCATTGAGCATCTCCTATAAGTAAGACGCCAAATGGAACATTGTGATGAGTGTCCATAGAATTAAATGGAAAATTCTAGTGAAGGTGGGGTTAATGTGGGGTCTGGCTGGAAGACCCTGCATGACTACACTGCCCAGCAACACTGCTTTGCCTGTTAAAAGAAGTAGCGCACATTTGCATTTCAGTTCTGGGCACCACAGACCAAAAAAATGTACTGTCTTCACAAAAGAGGCCCAGGGGCAGCTCTATTTTGAGTTCGTCTTAAGTTGGATTGGTGTGAGGGATGAGCTCCGGTGTCAGTGTGATGAAGCCCTGTCATTCTCAGCGATGCAGAATTCAGCCAGCTTCATGCCTCTTCTGTAAGTCTGTGCCGGGAGGAATAGCAGTGAGCTGACGGTTTTGGTAACTGAAGAGCCGGGGAATAGATGGTGAATTGTGTGCCACTTTATAAAGGAAGCCATAGTAAATTGCAATCACAAGAAGCCAGGCTTACTCATTGCAGTAATAACTCTAGAAGGAGTTTGCTGGTGAATAAGTCAAACCAAACATCCAAAACCACAATTTCAGAAAAGGATCTCTGATTTAAATTATTTCATTATCACAGACTACATTGAAAGTCATCTGAAATTTGGCCAATTTGATTATGTTTTCAAGTTGTTCTGAAAACTTGGAAGTAAACAATATGTTTTTTCTTTTCTCTCTATTACTTAAACTAACAAAAAAACCCATTTAAAAACCTATTCTCTTTATACTACAAATATAAGTACTTTAGAAAGTGAGTTATATCAACAGTTTCCTCGTCTTGAGCTTCAGAAAAGGCTGAATTTGAAAAGGGGCATTTCTTGTGATAGTATTAAGGGTGGAGGACCTTGGGGACTGATCTGTGACCTCCTTTCACAGAGAATATCTGCATTGTCATCACATGGTAGGTGATAGACTCTTCACAGGTACAGAATGGAGGGAACTTCTAGTCAAACAGAACCCACCTAGCAGGGAGGAAGATGATCCCAAGTCACAAGAGAAACTGTGAAACACAGCAGAAACTTCTTGCTGAAAGACGTTCAGATGTCCAGGGGCTTGTGTCCATTGTACTGCTGACTGACTACTTCCCTTCTCTTCCTTGGGACAAATCATCCTTTGCCTTCTTACATCAACCCCAGAGGCCTTTGGGGACCAATATACTCAAATGAAGGAAGTGAGGTTCAGTGATGTTGTGTGGTTTGCACAAAGTAGCAGAGCCAGACTTGGAAGCCAGGACTTTGGCTCCCAGTCCAGGTCTCGTTCTTGTTTACCATGCTGCCTGCCTCCTAATGTTTGGGAAAACTCGTGCATGAAACGTGTTTCCACCTAAAGTTGGGAATTTTCACACCTTCACTTGAAGGTGATGGTTTTCTTTATAGGCCGAGGGAGGGGTACTGATCTTGGAAGAGTCAGGATTAAAAGCTAAGATGAGGGTACAGGGTAGGTAGGAGGAAGGAGAGATAGAGCCAGGCAGGAAAGCAAAGGTGCTAGAGAAGGAAATACGGGAACAATAAAATGCGGGAGATGTAGAGGACAAACCTGGAGAGGGGAAATTAACTGAGAAGAAGCAAAGGGCATTTTTCTTCTGAAGAGCAGCAAACTCAGGCAACCACAGACTGAGCAGAAGTCAGAAAGAGGGGAGGAAGAAGAGAACAAACAGAACCAGAAAACAGAAGAAAACCAGGAAAGCACGAGAAAAGTGAGAGCTGCTGTAAGTTAAGAGCGTGTACAGGTGGGTAGGCATGTTGGACAGAGAGGAATTCACAGGACAGAATGCATATGCGTGGAGAGGGGTGGACGAGCAGGGAGGTGAATATCGGCACAATGGGAGGGGGCAATGAGAGTGGACTATGCAAATGGAGGGAGTCAACAAAGTGATCTGGGTGCTAGACAGATCCTTGGAATTACCCCAGAATCAGCTCAACCGTGGTTCTAGAGACGCTGGTACCGGAGGAGATGATAAATTCCGTATCTGTAAAACCAAATCTCTACCCTCTTAGCATTCACCTCTCTTGCTTCTTTCATCATTTATGTAACTTGCTTTTCAAAATACACAAACATTCATTTATTCACTACATGTACCCTGGAAACCTTCCTCACAGGGCTAGTTTCTTGGGAAATTTGTCAGTGCTTCCCAAAGAACAATGGGTCTCTTGAGGCACCTCCCCTTGCCCCTGCCACACACACACACACACACACACACACACACACACGCACACACTTGGATATGTCCTCCAAATTGGGAACAGTGGGTTTTCCTCAGGAAAAGCCAGGCCTCTACCATGGCTGGGTGGAGTCCCAGAGGAAAATGTCACAGCATTGTGAGAACAGCCAGGAGGAACATGAAAGCCGTTTCCCAGAACTGCTCAGTACAGCCTTTCTTGTACACTCTCCTGAGCTGTAAGGGAAATCCTGCGAGGACCACGAGGCCCTCCCAGATTCGAGTCCACTCCACCTCATGTAGGTGTGGTTTGCAGGGAAAGCCAGGCCGCTGTGTATCCTTCCCATCATAGGAACCTTCAGTCAGAGCAGCATACATCCTTTGCCCGAGCGATCAACATGCTCTCCACCGGGCCAAAGGAGAGCAGGCGGGCCATTTTCCTCCCCATGTGTTAGTCTATATCACAAGCCTCTTTGAAATATGCGATTTTAACAGCAATATCTGCCCAATGCAGGCTAAATAAGGACTGCATTCCAGGGCTGACTCTCTGCCAGCAAGAACCATTGGGAATTAGAAACATGCCGAGGTTTTTTTTTTCCCCCTTTAAAATGCATGCCACAAATAAAATCCCCTTTAGCCCTAGCTGTGGCCTTAGCTATTAGCACAACCTTGCGAAAAATTTAGCAAGCTATCTGCTTGCTCAGAATATCGACCAGCCCACTTTCCAAAATGCAATCACACTTGGTAAGAAATGAGTTTAAAAATCTCCTCATGCTTTTCATGCACCTGGAATGAGCTGCTATCCACAAGGTTGGGTTAATGCCACTTTCCGGGAGACCTCTGAGAGGACGGGCTCCGTGAAATGGGTTTTTGCCCTTACAAGCTGAGTTAAGGCCAGCTGTTGGCAGGAAGGTGTGGCGGCTGCCTTCTGAGTACTTACACAGGATCCTGAGCCCGGTGGCCGTGCCCATGTTAATTCTTCCCTCACCTCATGTACTCCCCATCACTCCTATAATCCATGAACGATTCTGATCCTGACACTTCCTCAAAATCCTCCAGCACCAGACTGGTGGAGTCCTCACCCAGGACGCTGCTGTCGGGCCTGGACATCCTGGCCCAGGAAGGAGGTGCAGGAGGGTCGGTGGCAGCTGGAGGGGGAGAGCAAGGGGGCGTGTGCTGGACAGATGTGGGCATGGCCTGAGGAGGGGACACAGCCGGCTCATGGACTTCCTCATCATCCTTCTCGGACTCTGCCCCTGTCTCTGGGGCAGCAGGCCCGAGGACGTGGTAGAGGCTGGGGAGACGGATGTCGAAGCGCAGCCCAAACTTAGCAAAGAGCTTGTCGTTGAGAGCGTAGAGCTTCTCGGAGATGTCATAGCCCAGCAGGGCAGAGAAGAGGCGGGAGATGTATCGCTCTCTGGCCAGAAGAAGGTGGAGACTTTTCCGGGGCCAGGAAATATAGCTACACGCAGTCTCGGCTGTCAGAGTGACCTGAGAGGGGTCAGGAGCAGAGAGTGAAGGTTTAAGCTGGAAAATGTGTCCATGCTTAGCCCAGGGAAACACAGTGACTTGGCAAATGGCTGCACTTTTACTGAAGAAGCTGTGGGAACACCCCCCACGGCCTTCCTGAAGAGGTCCAGTGAATGACTTTTATTGTGTGCACTGATGGGTGGGGGTGTCCTTGTCAGGAGCCTGGGATCAGCCATTCACTCACTGGGCCCTCACCTTCCGGAGCCTCAGTTCCCATATCTGGGCTCCTTAGCCCTCACATGCTATGGTCCTGTGGCTGATATCACTAATGGCTGCAGAAGGTTCTGAGTCTGTCGTCATTTCAAGAGAGAGAAAGGGCCTCCTAGTGCTCTGAGGAAAGGTTGGAAAGCTGATGACTGTTTGTTTTAAGAATAAAGGACAATCTATTGCAGTAGGGATGCAAAAAAGAGCTGGAAAGCATTTCAGTTATTAGGTGTGACAGGCTGCCCCAAGTGGACAGAACGCTGGCCTGGGATGCAGGCCCATGAAGTTGCTCTTGACTTGGCCATGACACATAACCAAACGGATCTGATGATTCAAGTCAGCAAAAGGGCACAGAGGAAGAAGAACTCTTGAGAGCACAAAGTCAAAGGGCACCCCACTCTCCAGTTATTCAGTCCTCTAGGAATTTCTGAGCCCTCACCATGCGCCCAGAAGGCAAAGCTGAATTATACCTGCAGGGTCAATAATGTGTGGCCGGTATGTACTAGGTGCTTGATAAATCCTTAATAAAACAATGGTGAGTGGTAAAGCCAGAGTTAAAATGGAAACATGCTTAGGATAGTAAAGGAAAAGGGTGTGGAATCACACAGTTTTTATAACCTGATTGGTCATAATACTTTAAAAGTGAGAAGGCCGGCGGAGTTCATGACAAAGGTTTGTGAATGGAGACGGTGGAAATGATGACAGCAGCTAAGTTTACTGAGGGGTGACTGCGTGCCAGGCATTGTGTTAAGTTCTTTATGGGGATCATCTAATTAAAGGTAAGGTTAATTTATCAGAGATTTCTTATAATCCTTCTAATTCCTGCATTGCCTACCAGATCTCCCACTGCCCTCCTCTCCTTTCCCTTCCCCTTGCCTATCCCTCTCTTCCATTTTCTTCGTTCATTTCCTCCTTTCTGCTTCTCCGCCCCTACCATCAGCACTGAAGTCAGGGCCCTAATTTTTTTTTTTTCCTGCTTTATTTCCCAATCCCCCCGCCCCAGTACATAGTTGTATATCTTAGTTGTAGATCCTTCTAGTTGTGGGATGTGGGACAACGCCTCAACATGGCCTGACGGGCGGTGCCATGTCCACACCCAGGATCCGAACCCTGGGCCGCCGCAGCGGAGCGGCGCGAACTCAACCACTCGGCCACAGAGCCGGCCCCTCAGGGCCCTAAATTACCTTATCAAGGCCAGAAGCTGGTTTCAAGTTCCAGCTTCACCCCCTTACCAGCTGTGTGACATCAGACAAATCACTCAATCTCTTCAAGCATGTTGCATCATGAGAAAGAATTCTGGAAGTTGTGCTCACAATCCACCCATTACTAACAGTTCAGCGTGTCATTGTCACTATCTGCCCCAGCCAGCTCTTTAGATGTCTGTACTATCATTGCCCAAATGAGAAATCAGAGTACTGAGCACAAAGCAGTGCGGGTAAGAGTGCATCTGGATGTAAACATGGTCCTTAAGGCTGAGCACAGGACCGTGTGCGTGCTTATGAACACGCTGTTGCTTCTTCCATCTTAAATCAAAATGAAAAATGAAAATCTGTTTTCTTCACCTCACTTGTTTGGCTAGCTACCACTCCATCTCCATCAATTTGCTCTCCTTTTCAGCAAAACTCCATGAAAAAAACTGTCTGTCCTTGCTGTCTTCCACTCCTCTCACTCTCTCTTAAACCCATAATAGGCTTTGCTCCTGGTTGCCCACCAACACTGTTCCTGGTAAGGTCACCGGCGACTGTAAGTTGTGGTGCTCAGTTTCTGTGGCGTTCAGCCCGGCTGATCACTCCGTTCTCTTTGCTATGCTTTCTTTCCTTGGTTCCCAGGAGGCCGTACGCTCCTGTATAGTCTCCTGACTGCTCCTTTTCAGCTTCCTTTGCTGCTTCCTCTTTTTTTCTCCAACCTCTAAACACTAGAGTATTCCAGGGTTGGTCGGTTCTTGAACCCCTTCTCTGTCTAAACTCACTGAATTGGTGATCTCGTCCAAGCCAATGGCTTTAAATATCATCTGTATGCCAACGACTCCCACGTTTATGTCTCAAGCTCAGACCTCATTCCTTAATTCCAAACTCAAATATTCAACTGCCCATGCAGCGTCTCCGTTTAAATGTCCATAGATGACACAAATCTAATATATCCAAACCGAACTTCTGCTCTTCCCTCAAAACCAAGTCTACCTGCAGCCTTCCTCATCTCAGTTGAGAGCAGCTCCATCCTTCCAGTGGCTCAGGCCAAAAGCCCGAGGGTCCTGCTGGATCTTCTTTCCCTCATACTCTACATCCAATGTATTAGAAAAGCTTCTTTTCTCTATCTAGAAAATACATGCTCTGGCCCCACATGATGTGGCTCCTCGTCACCTCTCTGATTTCTCCCCCTGCAATTCTCCCCGCTTCCTCTCTTTGTTCTGCCACACTGACCCCCTCTTCTGTACCTCAAACAGAGGTGCAGAGCCCCTCCCATCCCAGGGGCTTTGCAGTGGCTCTTCCCTCTGTCTAATATGCTCTTTCCTCAGCTTCACAGAGCTCACACTGTCACCCCCCTCAGATCTTTCCTCAAATGTCACCCGCTCAACAAGGACTTCCATGACCACCCTATTTAAAATTGCAACTATATCCATCTCCCTTACACGACTCTATTTTTTTTTTACTAGCAGTTATTATCGTTTAACATATTACATTATTTATTTATTATGTCTATGGCTTATTTTTTGTCTCCACCATTAGAATATAAGCTGCATGAAGTCAGGGACCTTCATCTGTTCTGTTCACTGACATATTCCAAGCACCTCTAACAGTGCCTGGTATACAATAGGTGCTCAACAGATATTACTGAAGTGAATGCATGAATCAGGTGAAGATTACCCATCTTGTGTGTTGTAAAACAACTTAATGTCACTTTCTCTTGTCCTGTACAAAATCCTTCCCCAAAGGTCTTCAGGAAACCTGTTCATTGTCTGGTTCCCACATACATACGTGCATGCTGGTAATAAAATTTTGGCAACTTTTTCTTTAATTTTCCCCTCAGAGTTTGGTTGAGTGGCTTTAATGGGATAACATATGTAAAGAGGTCTTGGGTCCAATAAAACATGATGCAAACTGAGAAATACTGATGATTCCTCCCATGCTGTGTTCTTGGTGACTGATGAGATGGTCACAGCGCTGTAGAGTCAATAAATTCTTATTTAACTGAGTTATTGAGACATGTGATGGGATGTTGATTCATTTGTGGTAAATGCAGTAAGAATTATGATTCAGGCAGTCACTGTGGATTGCCCTATTACTCAACAAAGACTATGTAATTGCAAAAGGCAAGGACAGGATGAACCATAACTCAGGACAGCACTTGACATTTGCAAAGAGGAAATGGGACTTTACACAGCCACTGGCAAATGTGTGGATCTCATTGCTCCCAAAGGAGGCGCACACTAAAAATACAAATGGGAGGAATATGATGGTAGCTACATTCCAGGCTCAGAGGCCATCTGGGGTTACAGCCCTTCCTTTTGAGCATAACTTAGGGGAGGACACCCGGCTTATCCAGCACCTGTCCCTTGGAGTCAGTGTCAGAAACAGAGCCTAGTCTGGCTGGATCAGGACCTGACTCAGCCCTCCTGGAGGTTCTCATGGCCCTGAGGGAGTTCTCCAAGGAGACTGCTGGGCTAGTTGGAGAGGGTGGGTGTGTTTGTGGTGGGGGAGGAACATGATCAGAGGTGGTCTGTGGCTGGTAGCCCTGGCAGTGGGATCAGGATTGCCTCTCAGGCTCTGTCCTCACAGAGCCAAGAGTCAGGGTGGGGCGGAAGCAGGCCCAACCAGGTGGCACCGCCTGGCATGTGTCTATTCTGGGGTTGGCTCATATGCTAGCATGAGGGACTCCCTGATAGAAGGAGTAGAAGACACATGGAACCCAGTACTGGCAAACTAGACTGAGGAGCTCCTACAATGGGGTGTGTGTGTGTGTGTGTGCGTGTGCGTGTATGTATAAACTCCATTCTCCTGGTGACCCTCCCATTTTAAAAAGGAACAGACACAGTAGAGCCAGGCAACTTGGCCTTGCCACTTTCTAGCTGAAGACCTTGGGCAAATTACTTGATGCTTTTGAGCCTCAGTTTCCTCATCTGTTAAATGGGGCAATAATAATAGCCAGCCCAGAGGATTGTTGTGAGAATCAACAAGGCAATATAATATGTAGGGCCTGCCACACGCTAGCCATCCAATAAGTCAGAACTACAAAGAAGGTAACCAAAGTCTGAAGGATTGGCAGAGAAGAGAGTAGGGCCAAACAGCCAGGCCCCCACCTTGGAGCGTGTATCTGAATGCCCCATGGAGTCCTCTAAGATACAAACTGCCCACTGCCAAGCCAGTTCAGCAAACCTTTATTGAACACCTACTGTGTTCAAGACACTGTCCTTTGGAGCCTGGGGATAGAGAGGAGGAGAAGCCCAGACTTCTACCGCAAAGAGTTCACTGTGCGGAAGACAGGAAACCAGGTTATTAGAACAGAGAGCATTGTGTGCACCAGTCAGCGTAAGTAAAAGGAATAGAAAAGGCACGCAGGCAGGAAAAATAAGCTGTGAGCATGGAAGCTGGTGAGGTCAACATGGGCAGGCTTCAGAGGAAGTGAGATGCCACCGCCTTATGTAGATGGGGAAACGCATTTCAGATGGAAGGGACAGGAGGTGCCAAGGCACGGCCACTGCGAAGAAACGTGGTTTATTTGGGGAAGTCCTAGTAGTTTGGCATGGCTGGTAAGAGCAAGAGTGTGAGAGAGGAAGGCACTTGAGATGCAGCTGCATATCACTAGAGGTCTTAAGTTACTCTCTAAGGACTGTGGGGTTTTATCTTGTGGTCACTGGAGTCTTCTGGAAGAGTTCTAGGCATAGGAGCGACATGATCCGCCTCTCAGGGTCGGTACCTCCCCACCCCACCCCACCTCTGCCAGGAGCCCAGGCACTCTTTCCACAGAAGGAGAGTGCTCCCACCCTTGACACCATATTGGCAGTGGTTCAAAGGGCAGATGGAAGAGGGGAAAGGTGGAGGGGGGACATTGCTGGCTTACAGTGGGAGGGGGTGGGAAGGTGCTGCCGTGGGGTTCCCTGTTACCTGGAACACCCCCTCCTCAGAGGGCTGCAGCGATTCCCATTCGGGAGAGTCCATGAACTGGTAAGGAAAGATGTAGTGCAGAAACTGGCCGTCCTGGCTCACACGAACCCTGGAGAAGGGAAAGAAGAGACCGTGTGGGCAAAGGGAAATGGCTCCCCAAATCCTCCTCAGAGTCTAAAGGACATAGGACAAAATGGAAAATGATTAGGATCCAGTATGGGCTTTTTCCTCTTTTCCCCAGAAAACTCAGAGTCTCGGCTTCAACTTTTCTTCTAAAGTGAGTTATCCCAGGAAAGGAGATGTCTCCGTCAGGCAAAAGGGAAGATAGAAAGATCTCTAATCCAGACCCTGTCCCTTTGGAAGGAGCTATTGTTCCATTTTTTCTGGAGCTTTATTGGCTGAGCAAATATGCATGGAGCACTCCCTGTGTTCCTGGAGGTCTGGAAATGCAGAGATGGGTATGATCTGATCCCTGCCTTTAAGGATTTCACAATTTAGTGGAAGTCACAGGTACATAAATAACCGGCTGCAAGTCAGTGCGTGCTGTCATGGAAGAGGAGAATAGAGGAGGGAGAGAGAGTTCTCTTCGAGTGGCAGACTTCTCAGAGATGACATTTGAGCTGAGTTTTGAAGGATGAGTAGGCTATTGAGAAGCAGATCAGGATGGGGATGGATGGAGAGCTGGGAAATGCATTGGGGCAGTTTGTTTTCCAATATCTGCTTTTTCCCTTCCTCCATAGTGCTAGAGTTTTAGCCGGGCTCATGGCTGTCCAGCTAGACTGCATATCCCCATCTCCCTCGCAGCTAGGTATAGCCCTGTGATTAAGTTCTGGCCAATGGGATATTAGCACTCCAAGTTTTGCTCCTAATGAATGCCTAGATACATATGTTGTGCATACAAATTACCAAAGACCATCATCAACTAGTAAGCTATTGCCTATTATCTGACAACCTAAAGATGGATGACAGAAGAGGATGTAGGACTCAAACCAAGCCAAGGATGTGGTATCAGCCATTGTCTCTGATGGCAGAAACTCTTGCTGCTCCAAGAGCAGGTAATATACATAGATAGCCAGGCAGAACTTCCCGGAGTAATGAAAAGATACTAGAGAAAATGAAGTGCCTGCTCTCTTCCCTCAGGGTCTTCACATAATCTGTCCCCTCCAGCTGGGCTTCTTCCCAATCCCCACTTTCTCCTCAGGCATCAGTTTAAACATTCCTTCTTCCAGGAAGTCTTGTCTGACCTCCCCAGAAAAGTTAGGTCCACCGGTTGCATGCTGTCATTGCACTTCGCGTTTCTCCCTGTAAATATTATGTCTATTATTCACCACTATGTCAAATATTAACTATTGACTTTCTTGATAGACTATGAGCTCCATGAGTAGAAGGCTAATATTTTTCATATTTTAACACTGGATCCCTAGTCTCTACCACTCTTAATGAATATTTTTGGAAAAGGGGAAGAAAAAAAGGAAGGAAGTGGGGGAGGAGGGAAAGAAGGAAGGAATGATCAAACAAATGAACTCACTTGTGTCACCATAAAAGGGCACTAAACTCTCAGGGAAAAGCTTCTCAAATAAAGGAAGAAAGACAAGAGGAGATATATCAAATCCTCCCATCGTATCCACGGGCAAGGAACCTGGCCACTTAAGCAAGCCACCGAGGAGTGACAACATTTTAGAGTGTGAACAACATCTGATGAGCTTGCGCAGCTCCTTGAAGCCATTTCAACTGGTATTCTGTGTCCTTTATCATTTGAGTCTCTTCTTCCTTCCTGATCTCCTAGATGACAGGTAACATCCTCCTACATGAATAGCTTGGAGAGTTAGTTGCCTGCTCAGGAGGCTGTGCGTGTGGGAGTTCCTGCTTTAAATTTTATATGCGAGAAACTCTCCAACAGTAAGCACAGCTTAACAGGGTAATAAACTTTGAGGAAGTCACTTCGCCCTTCTGAGTCTTGAAAAGGACTGATTGTCTTTATTAAAACAAAACAAAAAGAATGTCTGAGGTTTCAGCAAAGGGCTCCAGAAGAGAGTATGCACGTGAGATGGCGAGGTCTGCCCAAGGAGCCCCCACTCCCTGGCATGTAGTTCTTGTCTGCTGCTTCGAGGCGTTTGGTACCTCACTATAACCAGCCAAAGCTACAATGATTCTCCTTTAAAACTAGAGCCTGGTCATAGACCCGAAGCCTCTTCCCCCAGCTCCAATTTAGCAAAGTTGAGACAGGATGACGTTGAAAGATAACAAGACAAAACTTTTACTCTAGACCTTGAAAACCAAGGGAAAAAATCAAAATTGGCTAATTTCTGACTCGAGTCTTTGATGCTAAGTATACTAGGAAAAGCCACACTGAGGAGGCAAGTCCCCCCTCCCCATCTCAGGGAAATTGTCTTATACAAATTACAGTAAATCCAACATATAATAGATACCTGAGCCATAGAACAATCATAACATCCTTCCATAAACTAGCACCATACAGCAGAGTGGGTATTTCTCCCACCAGTCTCAATTCCCTCCTTTGAACAGAGGAGGCAGGAGGAGAAAAAAACATTATGGATCTCATGAATGAGGATATTTCCTAAATTGTCTTTATTTTAAGCATGGAACTGTAGGTGGCAAACATTTGGCAGCAGTCACAATGTATTTGTACGTACATGCATTTGTTTACACTTCAATTCACTCATAAATGAAATGAAACATCTCCCCACAAAATCACATAGCTCATTCAACCCAGGACCTCTGAGCCAAACAAAATCAAAACTTGTCTACACAACACTTTCAATTCGATACATTAACACAGAAATGCATAGGGTTACCAGAAGTAGTTGTTGTAGTACCATCATCATCATTGTCAAATTCTTCTTTTTTTCCCCACTGTGTGGTTGTCAGTCTTATCTGATTTCATTTCTTTCTTTCTTGGCATCAAAGCCTTCTGATTACTATCTGATCTTTTCTACTACATTCTCCCGGTCTCAAAAAAGCAGGGGAGAAAACTGAGGACAAAGCTTTTGAAATCCTTTGCTTGCTTTCCACATATCCAGCCCAAGTATCCCAGGTTATCCCACGCACAAGTCCCACTAAGGCAATATTTCCAAGAATCCACAACTACCTACCAAATGTGCACCACAGAGCCCCACGGTGTGTGTTCAGAAGATATCGGCCAATGGCCAACACTCCTGTGCAGGCTGCCTGGGCGTACACTGGTCCTAACTAAGACCATTTCTACTAATGTCTGACTGTCAGCCTTCTTAAGAGGAGTCAGCCAGGTGTCTGCAGCAAATCCTCAGGGAGACACATGTGGGTATCTTTACTCTTTCCTCGACATCTGGCCCTCAGATTTACAGTACTTGATTTCGTGGTCTGTGAGGATCTCAGTAGAACTGGGAATGGAAAAGTGGACAAGGGTATTCCCTCTCCATACCTGGGTCTATACAGAATGGCTTTACCTTAGAGTCTGTACAGGATATCCCCAACACAATTGGGTGTGTTTCCTTGATGCCCTGGCAGGGAACAAGGGTTACAGGAAACCCTCTCTGTTTTGGCACTGTTCCTTGCATGCAGTTGGCACTGGGCAAATGTTGAATGCATATGGAAGAAATAAATTAATCTTACTGAAATGCTCAGTTTTCCAAAGCATACAGAGATATTGCTGCAGCTTAGGCATGACACAGTGGGGTGTGTGTGTGTGTGTGTGGGCGTGCGTGAGCATCTGTGTGTGGTCATTACAGACGCAAGCTCAAGAAACGTTCACCCCACAACTCCCAGCAGCAAGTGCATACGCAAACCTTCCTGCCAACCAAGAAGACGCCTCATGATTTAGTTTCCTCTTGGAAATGCTAGAAAGAGGAAGCAAACCCATGCTTAGAAAAATCCATTTTGGTTTGTTTGACTTGCCACATCCTTCCCTCAATGAAAGGGAACACGAAATGGAAAGGGATCATTGGGAAAGGAGAAGTGTGGGCAAGGGAAAGAAATGCTGGGCAGTGACAGAGGAGCTTACCGGCCAGCGAGCAGCAGGGACAGGCGGTTGATGGGCGTCTCGCCCTCCACAGCATAGGTCTGCTCGGCAGCCAGAGTCAAGACCTGGCCCTCGCAGCAGTGGACAATCTCCTTGTATGTCTGCAGGGGCACCTGCAGGGGCAGGCACAGCTTCTTGTAGAGGAGCTCGAACTCCTCAGGGAGGGTGTCCTCGCGGAGGCGGTACACCAGGTGTGCCAGCTGGAGCACACAGGCCGTTGTCAGCAGGAAGCTCCAGAGGACGACGTCCAGGCCGCAGGCGTGGAACCAGCCCCACAGCACGCAGCACAGGTAGCCTGTGCCCAGGAAGCCAAAGAGGTAGAAGCATCCATACACCCCACTGCCCCCCATGAAGCCCAGGAGCAAGAAGCAGTTGGCCAGGTGGTAGAGAGCCCCTTCCAGATCCTGCTTCCAGCCAGCGCACACGGGTGCCTGCCAGAGGAGCTGGCCCACGCTGCTGCCGTTGGTGCTCATCTTCGGGGTGTCTCAGAGCCTTGCTGGGCTCTAAGTCTGGCCCCACATAGGAAATTCAGAAAACGGGTTAATCGGTCCTCCCAGATGTCTTCTCACCTCAGGCTTCTCACCACCAACTCCACCTTTCCTGGGAGGAATGTTTCTGGCAGCTTTGGGAATGAATGGCAGAACATAGTACGCTTCATGGAGAACTGAAAACTTTTCCCTTCTCTCTTTCCCTCGGCAAGGCTCTGGCCCTCTTTGCAGAGCTTTGGCGAGCTTCCCCGGCTCCGGGTTTCTTAGGACAGCCTTCACATTTGGCTCTTAGCAGAAAACCTAAATTGTGGCAAGGAAAAGAGAGGACTACGGGCCTGAAAACTTCAGCAGTGAGGGATAAGGTGGCCACATCCTGCTCTCTGTTGTCCCCAGACAGAATGAGGAGAGCCCAGCACGGGAGGCACACTTGTGTTCCATTTGGAATGCGTCTCTCTTGGCACCGGAAGAAAGGGTGACCCCAGATGGATACCATGTTTGGAATTGGAATCCAAGAGGTACTGGCAGTGAGGAAAAACAGGCCAGGCACAGAGGCAGGCTGGCAGAGCACTTAACATACCTCCCCAGAGGACAAGATAAGACCCGGGCAACGGGGTAGGGGACGGACGGATGACAATGGAAAAGTGAGCGCAGAATTTACCACAACACCTCAGGCAGAACCCTGTCCGAGCTCCCTGTGGGTAGGGCTAGGGGCTCTCCTGAGGTAGGACACATCAAAGGAGGAAAGTATGGGACTATTATCAGAAAAAATCCTTACAGTGAGAACTGGAAAATCCCTTGAAGGCCTTTATGAAGTCACGGTGTAAATATCACTCGGCATTTAGGTGACATCCATTAAACAAAAATAGCTATGCAAAGCAGCGTTTTGAATTCTAAGCTGACTTTCCCATGCATACATCTGAATCTAGTAATAGTTAATACAATGGTAATACAGCGGTCACACCATCCCCCTGCCCACCCCATTATTTGCAAATCATGAAAACTACCACTTAGTAAACATCTACGAAGTGCCGGACCTAGATTAGGTACTTCACACACATATTATTTAGTCATCACGCAACCCTTCCACTTAAATATCATCCCCCTCCTAGATATGAAAGAAACTGAGGCTCAGAGAGGCAGCGAGTTCCCTCAGGTCGTAAGTGGCAGACCCAGGATTTGAACCCCAGTCTCTCCGACTTACTGCTGTGTCCCAAATAGTTTGCACAGTAAGTGGCAATACAGATCCATGACTCCCCTCGCTGCGCAGGAATTCTGATGATGGCTAAGGAACTTCTGGATGAACCTAGGATCTACTTTGGGTCACCAGCAAATAAATCTGGAATACACAAACATTAAACCAAGAAATGTCCCTCTGGCTTCTAAATTACTCCTTGATTTTTTTTCCTTGCTGCTGGTTCACACTTACTACCATCATTCCTACCGCCCCTGAGGTACGGGGGGGCACCCAGTAACCTTCCAGAACTATTCAGTGCTGAATCCATAGGGACTTTTATTATACTGTGAACAACCTAACCAAAATTACAAAGAAATTAGAAATTGTCAACTATGCTGAGGAGAGGAAGTTTTCAATTCAACAAGTATTTACTGAGTGTCTACTGTGAGCCAAGCCCTTCAGGAATCAAAGATGCCCGAGAGAAGCTTTCCGTCTATCAAGGGAAAGATACCTCAAAAAAAATGGCAATTCAGTGTGGGAAGCATGATACCTGGATTAAGGTTAAAGAGAGGTGGCAGCCAAGAAGAAGGGTGGCATAGAGGGAGGGAGACCCAGAGCCAAGATTTGATTTGAGGTGTAGGGGTTGAATTAACCAGGTAGGCAGAGGGAGAAGAGAATTTCCGGTGGTGGGAACAGCCGAAGCAGAGGCACAGAGGTGTGAGAATGTACAGCATGTTGAAGGAACCCAGTTTTTAAAATTTAATTAAAATCAACTGACCAATAAATGTGCATCTTATTCTCTCCTTTCTAAAGCTGAGGGGAAAAAACAGTAACCTATGGTAAAGGAAAAGAGCTAGAGAGTGCCTGGAGAAAGGCCTCCCGGGCCTCCTCACAGCAGGAGTCTGGGGATTTACACGTGCTGCTTTTCTGTCACCTGCCTGCCTCCCAACCAGCCCACCCACTTTAACAAGCAGCAGCTGTTCATCCTTCCACCTTAGTCATGCACCCTCTCCCGCCCCCCCCACCCCCACCCCCACCCCCCCCACCCCCCACCCCCCCCACTCCCCCCCCCCCCCCCCCCCGCCCCCAACTGCGATGCCAGAGTAGCAGTCCCAGCCAGCTGTGAGCAAGGAAATCAGAAACACAGGAACAGAAGAGCAACCTAGGCTCTGCCCAAGATAGAATTTCAAAGCAGGTCATCTTTCTCAGCAAGCCTTGCAAATGGGCTGGCCCCAGCCCTTTAAAGAGACAGGAAGATCCACTGACTACTGTTTTCAGCCTGCCTTTCTTGTCAATCCACACATGCTCATCTGAGCAGAGGGTACTAACATTTAACAAGGTATTATTGTTTCCTCATGATACCTTTTTTTTATGATAGAAAAAATAGGCTCAGAGAGGTTAAGGAACTTGCCCAAGGTCACAGAGCTAGTATGTGAATAAGGACTAAAGGCAAGGTCACTATGACTCTAAATTGTATGTTCTCCATACTGTCCCACCTTGCTGGGTAGTTTTGGGAGTTTATTTGTATCCACATACAGGCTCATTTATTGCTACAGTATGTGAGTATGCTGCTGGGGTGGCATCACGGGTGCACAAACACCTGGGTGAAACACCATGGGTGATAGTGACATCAATGCCTCCATCAATAGGATAGGACATACGATGGGAACATAACAATGGAGAGTTGTATCTTGTCTGTTTTTAAATCCAATTTGATAGAAGAGGAAAGAAAAATTTGTGTGTCAAAATGGTATGCTTTTTTTTTTTTTAATTATCTTAACTTTTTTTTTTTTAAGATTTTATTTTTCCTTTTTCTCCCCAAAGCCCCCCAGTACATAGTTGTATATTCTTCGTTGTGGGTCCTTCTAGTTGTGGCATGTGGGACGCTGCCTCAGCGTGGCTTGATGAGCAGTGCCATGTCCGCGCCCAGGATTCGAACCAACGAAACACTGGGCCGCCTGCAGCGGAGTGCGCGAACCTAACCACTCGGCCACGGGGCCAGCCCCCAAAATGGTATGCTTTTATAAGGAAATCCACAAACAAGCAGGTAGAAGCACAGTAGAAAATATTTGGGGAAAAATAAAAGGAAAGAAACAGAAGTCACATCATTCGTTGGGTCGATTCAATTCAATAAACATTCATTTAGGGCAAAGTATGTGTGCCAGGAGCAGATGATATAAAGAAGAGCAAGACAATGACCATCTCCAAGGAACTCTTGGTCCAGTGGGGCAGACTGACCTAGAGATAACTGCGACCCAATGAAATAAGTATACTTGGGCTTCCAAGGAAGCACTGACAGGGGAGCAAGAATTGAGGAAAAACTTCACAGGGAAGGTGACATTTAAGCTGGTCTAAAAAGAGGAGTAGGTGCTCCCCAGCTAGGGGAGGGCATTCCGGGAAGGGAGAACAGAATGTGAAGTCCAGTCCAGAAGTAAAACAAAAATACATGGCATATTCTGGTAACAGAGAACAGCTTGCCGTAGGTGAATCAAAGGGAGCAGCAGGCCCTGAGGCAGGCTGGGGCCAGATTATGAAGCCAGCTGGCTAACAGTGCCTCTCCAAGTGCAGTCCTGAACCACGCTGCTCCGTGCACTGTTACGGTCCGTGATGAGATAAGGGCAGAAATTGAGAGTAGTTAGATGCTTTTATATCAATTTCAAAGAGAAACTTATGGCCTTTGAATTTAATAAAAACTTTCAGCTTATATAGTGGTATGTCTTTTTTCGTTTAATTGTTTTTTTAATTTCATTTTCCTAGGACTGGTTCTTCACCACGTATAGTTTGAGAATCATGGGGCTTGAGATTAATGCTTTCGTAATGTAGATATTAAAAACAGAATGGAGGCATATAAGCAGTACAGTCTTTGACATCAGTCTTAAAAGGATCTTTTTGGACACCATGTCTCCTTGGACAAGGAAACAATAAAAAGAATAAACAAGTGGGACTTCATCAGACTAAAGATCTTCTACAAGGCAAGGGAAAACAGGATTGAAACAAAAAGACAACCCACCAACTGGGAAAAAATATTTGCAAATCATATATCCTACAAAGGGTTAATCTCCATGATATACAAAGAACTCACACAACTCAACAACAAAAAATCAAACACCTGACCAATAAATGGGCAGGGGATATGAATAGACATTTCTCCAAAGAAGATATACGGATGCCCAATAGGCACATGAAAAGATGCTCATCATCACTGATCATCAGGGAGATGCAAATCAAAACTACACTAAGATATCTGATACCTGTTAGAATAGCTATAATAACCAAGAAAGAAAATAACAAATGTTGGAGAGGATATGGAGAAAAAGGAATCCTCATACACTGCTGGTGGGAATGTAAACTGGTGCAGCCACTGTTTGGAGATTTCTCAAAAAATTAAAAATAGAAAAACCATATGACCCAGCCGTCCCACTACTGGGTATCTATCCAAAGAACTTGAAATCAGCAATTCAAAGAGACTCATGCACCATTATGTTCATTGCAGCATCATTCACAATAGCCAAGACATGGAAGCAACCTAAGTGCCCATCGATTGATGATTGGATAAAGAAGATACGGTATATATATACAATGGACACTTAGTCATAAAAAACAATAAAATTGTCCCATTCGCAACAACATGGATGGACCTTGAGGGTTTTATGTTAAGCAAAACAAACCAGATAGAGAAAGACAAACTCTGTATGATTACACTCATATGTGGAAGATAAACAAACATATGGACAAGGAGAACACATTAGTGGTTACCAGGAGGAAGGGGGGAGGGGGGTGGGCACAAAGGGTGAAGGGGCACACCTATAAGATGACAGACAAATAATAAGGTACAACTGTAATTTCACAATGTTGTAAACTATCATAACCTCAATAAAAAATAAAACATAGAAAATTTTTAAAAAGCCAGAATGGAGGCATAATTTTCAGCTTTGGACATATACTGCCAAGCTGATCTTAGGCAGACCTGTTGGTTGCCTATCCTAGAGCCATTCCCCCTTTTTCTTTCGTTTATGAAACTCTGATCTCACTTGAGCCACGTTAAGGAAGAGGAAGGTGGACTTCTCCCCCAGTTGCCAGGACCTGAAATAAGACTAGTCAAAGCCAAGCACAATATCCCATTCCCCTCGATGGTAACTGGTTTAAGGGTGGGCATGTGACCAATGGGATGTAAGAGGAAGTGTGGGGCACAGCTTCTGGGAACAAGTATCTCCCCCGGTAGAGACAGTAAAGGGGCCTGCTACCCTTCTTCCCGGGTTGAGTGATGAGGTAATGCCTGAAGCTACCATAGCCACGAGATAGGATCTGCCTAAGGATGAGAAAGATAAAGAGCAGAAAAACACAACAAGCCTCGGTTCTTGAAAGTATTACTGAGCCATTGTCTCAAACCTGAAACTGTCAACCTCCAGACTTCATGACAGGAGATAAATTACACGTATTGCTTAAGCCGGTGTAGCTGGGTATGCTGGTACTGGCAGCCGAATGTGCCCAGATTCAGATCTCCCTGAGCATCTCCATAAGGACTACTCTTCAGGGAACAGCTCTCTGAACATCTGCTGATTGTCTTACTCTATGAAAACTGAACATCAGACAACTTACGTTCTACCAATAATTTTTTCTCCAAAGATTAGTAAACTATGAGAGGAACTGCTCCTCTAACTCAATTTGACCATTCATTTTGGCTTGGCTGTTAAGTGAACAAGTAGAAAATTGGTCACATACTCAATATCCATTTACCTCTTCCTCCTTGTAATAGAATTCCAGTTCTCTTCTGGTATTTAACCTACACATGCGGGGACCCTGTTTAAGCCAACCAGCATAAGGCATTCTGCTGACAACTATTTTTGGCCCAAAAACGCACATACAACCTAATTTGGCTCAGACTGAAAAAAGCGACTTCACGCCTTGGGAATGATTTCTCTCTTCTGTTGGACTTAAGAAAGCACAATTGACTTCATCAGTCCTGGAAGAGAGCTCTGAGATGAAAATAACTTGAGTCTTACATGGCATCACTGGGCCTATGATAGCATTGCATCTGGAGCTTGCCCTCACTGTGGACTTTCCTTGATGAGGATTTTGTATTTATTACTTGCTGTCAAAAGCACACAACTGACACAGATGGAACTACCATCTAGCAGTTTTTAATAGCTAAAGAAAGAAACACTGGGTATAGTCATACATGCACTCTTTTAAGGAAAGTGTCTTAGAATATTCTTCATAGCACTGAATATTCAGCTTTATACTTTTATAGTTTATATAATTTCTTTGAGAGCAGGGTCCATGTCTTACTAATCTTTGTTCGCTACTTAGCATATAGTTGGCATACAGTGCATCTTCAGTAAATGTTGAGTCAAATAGTCTCTCACCTCTGAGGATAGGATGTATGTCTCAGTCAACATGAACACTCAATATGTAGGGCAGTCCCTTGCACATAACAGGCCTTCACTAAATAGGTACTGAATGAATAAATGAACTTATCACTATGGATACATGATGTTTATATTAGACCTCTGGTGCAGGAAAGAACATTGGGCTTGAACTCTAATACCAAGACTCACATCCCAGGTCACCAGCTATTTGACCAGAGCAATTTCCTTAACTTCTCTGAGTGCCTATACTCACCTATAAAATGAGGATTAGTTTCTCCATCAGCCTCTACATCAGACCTGTGGAGGCTATAGTTATGCTAAGGTAGACTTTGCCTAGGGACATGGTCCTGTTCTCATCAACCTTCAAGTCAACTGTTTCAAGGTTAGACAAAGGGAACTAATTAGAGAGAACAGTGTGAATGTACCTGTATTGACAGTTTGGGAATTACTGTGAATAGCGGGGGCTTAACAAAGAGGCTATGTCAGAATGTGGTGGTCACCCACGAGGACACTAGGTTCTTCATTTTTCCAATTACTGTAGTAACATCTCTTACTGTTATTAGTACCGAAAATCTGCACATCATCTTTGGGAAGGATGGGCAGAGGGTCTTGTGAGATGTATTCTTAGCTATGCCAGATATCAAGAAAGGTACTTTAGTTCCTTTATAAATCAGGTGAGCGTATCAAACTGGCAAAGGTTGAAAAACCTAACCTTGCTAACAGCTAGGGAAACGGACACCCTCAGATACTAAGGCGCAAATGGGACCCCTTTTCTAGAGATCAGTCAGGAAGTACTCATCCAAGCCTTGAAATTTTGATAGCCACTGGCCCATTCCTAGGTAAGTGATTAGTAAAAATGCTCAGACTTTCTTATGGAAACTTTCACTGCAGTGTTACTATGGAGTAGCCAAAAAAAAGTAAAAAGTGTATATACATGCAGAAAAAGATGTATGGCAAGGTCACCAAAAAGTGGTCCTATTTTAAACTGGTGGGATTTCAGGTGATTTCCTCCTTTCTTCCTTCTATGTTTCCATAAAACCAAACAATAAAACAAACAAACAAACAAAATCAGAAATAATTTAGGTATCTGGTACGCATCCTGAATGGTGTCTGACACATAGCAGGGATCCTACAAAACATTTGTTTAACGAATGAATGTACAAACAATAGGGAATTGGCTTAATTAGGGTAAGCCACAAAATGGATTTATACATACCAACACAAATCACATTGTAGAACTCTACTCAATGATGGGAAAATATATTAAGGGGAAAAGGCAATTAATATTATGATCTCATTAAAAATACGTAACAGAAAAATGATCTCTCATTTTTTTGTTTTAAAAAAGATACAAATGCATAAGAAAAGTCTGGAACAAGATACATCAAAAACTAACATTAGGTGATAAGGTAATGGATTTTTTTTTTCTTTTTTAGGGTTCCAGGACATATTCAAGCAGAATTTGGATAACCATCTGCCAGCGATCTGTACTGGGTGGGAAGTTGGTACATATCTGTGTTAGTTGTCCAAGATTCTATTCTTCACCTAGAAGAATGCTCTGAAAACTATAAAGTGCTTACTAAAATCAAAGTATTTTATCCAAATATTCAAGTGAAAGTAGGAATACAGAATCAAAGAATTAGAGAATGTTAATACACTAAATACTAGATACTGTGCCAAAGGCTTTAAGACACCATTTTAATCAGTATTCACAGTCTTGTAAATTAGATATTACTACTATGCATGCTTCTTTCTTTTCTTCTTTCACATGAGAAAACAGACCCAAGAAGGTCGTGACTTGTGTCAGGCCACACAGCCAGCTGTTGAACCTGAACCTAAAAGCCATGCTCTTAATTAACTGGAAAGAATCCTAAGGACTAATTTAATTCAGCTCCTTTATTTTACAAAAGAGGCAATTTTCCCTTCATACAATGACATATGAACACTATATGTTTCTTACTTATATTCCTCAGTATCTCTTGTTGTTAAGATTTGAAACTCAATTTACTTAAAGGCAGAACATGACCAGTTGCCTCACTAGCCTGTAAGCACCTAGGAGGATCACAGGGTTGCTATAGTAAGTGAACCACACTCCACGTGCCATTCCAGGTTTCACTACGGCACTGAGGTATTTCATTAGTGACTTATTTGTACAACCCAGCCCCTGGCCTGGGCCAGCTTCTAATTAATAAGAGACAACCGTCTGGCCCCTAGGCATTAATCTTATGATTTTAATCTATTCTAAAATGTAACTAGCCATCTATAGATTAATTATGCCAAACAGTTGAGATCTTCCAAGACAAGGCACCCTAATGTGACCCAAAATCTAAACAAATTACTTTCCCAAAGGACAACTAGTAAAGAAATGATGATTTAAACTACTAAGACTGAAGGCTTGTCCAGCTCCTGTCTGGAAAAAAGCTAAAAATAAAAAACAAAACTCTGAATGACATGATGTGGTTACCATATTCATTCTGAATTGGTAAATGGTTATTTTCTTACTTCCATGCATCTAATTTCAGATTTCACTGGATGAGATCAGTATTTGCTTTCTCCTTACAACAAATATCCAGAGTTCCCAGAAAGACACAAGAACATAAGAAACTTGTATTACAAGATTTGTTTATACTATATCCTTTAAGAAAAATAAATAAATGCCATTTTAGAATGTGAGGAACACACACACACAAAAAGGTTTTTGACCAGGCATATTTTCTTTCTTTCTTTTTTTTCTTTTTAAAAATTATACTTTTTCCATTTATCAAAGTTCACCAAAGAACTCCCAACATTATTGAATCTTCTTCATTCTTCAGGAATTATTCATTCACAGAGCAGATCACCTACGGAAAAAAATTATTTTAGAGAGTAAGTTCCAAACATCATGCCAGATTTATGGAGTTCTGGAATTAAGATCACTAGAAATGAATGCCCCAGCCAATACTATTAACAAATCACCACAATTATTCTAAACTGGTCATGAAATAAAAGATCCACATTTTTAAATTCTAGTTTTGCCTAACAAAACATCACTGAAACTGTTTGATCCATTACACTGTTTAATCTTGAGAAGTCTTTGTTGAAGTAAAAACTAAATACATATTTATTTCCTCAAAAATATCTTTCCAAAAAAGGCTAAGGCAGTTTATTTTTACAGATATGCCAGAGAAGAGACTTGCAACCCCCTCCTTGCTAATTCAAGTACGTTTGGCAAAGAGCCACTAAGTGGAAGGCAGAAGGTCAGCTCTGTACACAAGGCACTTCCTGTGGAAAGTTACTCACTTAATTCCAAGGGCAAACAAGTGTAACCCTTTTGAAATCCATTTGGAAAGATCAAAAGGGGAAAGTAGCAGAGGATAGGGTTGCTGGTCTGGTCAGTCAGTACTAGGCTTTCACGGCAGAAACAGGCTCAGAGAGGTTAAAGGACTTGCCTCCAGGGTTCTTCTGATTCCTAAAGGCAGAAAGATACTAGCTGCCATTTCCTCTTCACATTGCTAAGCAGGTTCTATGTTCCTCTAGTTTCTCTTTCAGTGAAAGCAGCAGTCACAAGACAGAAGAAAGTATCTATAATTACCACCATCACACCTATTTTTTCTTAGGACGAGTTTTGAAATCTCCACCTTTGTTGCCTACTAAATCCCCAGATAGTTTATATTTAGCATTATCTCTGCTCCTTCCGCATAAGCAAGTGGGTCTGAAAGAGGGCACGCCTGAGAGTTACCTAGGAATCTCTGAGGCAACAGGTACAGATGAGGGTGCAGGCCTGTGAATTTTGGAAACCGTTCCTCAGGCAAGTCTGAGGCACACCTCTGGCGGAACATAGCCTACCTTTATGTTAAGTCCCAATCTACTGAATTCAAGCTACCGTGAAGACCTATCTCAGTTACAAATAACATTAAACTCTACAAGGGTTTTTGAATTCAGGAACTTTCACGATCATTACTGGGAAGATCTAAGTTTGCAAAGTCTCTTTCCTTTGAAGCTATCCTCAGAAAAACTGGTCTCACAGTCTAAGAGATACCAATTTAGTTATAACAGTGCGGACAGTCGTGTTGGATTGTACCTGACAGCTCACGATCTGGTGACTGAGTTATACACACCTATGCGTTTCAACAATAGGCCTTTCTAATTAGCATCTGATTGAAGCTTTATGATTGAAGATCAAGACTCTATGCAACCCTAAAAATGAATATGTTGGCAAAAAGTCTCATGAAGTGAAAGGAGTGAAGTGTACAGTGCTTGTGATTTGGAGAACATAAAAGACCCAGACTCTGGTTTTGATTCCACCACCTATCCACTCGTAACTGGAGCAAGTCTTTTTTGACTTCACTCTTCCTCCATTTCCCCCCAGGGGTTGGGGAGAATACGCCACCTGTGACCAATGGGGATCAAAACACCTGTTCTTCTTCCAAAAGTAGTAGTATGCTAAAAACGAATACATGACATTTTGAATTCTTAGAAAGGCCTGATTTGGATTCAGATTGTTCTTCTTGTAACCAGGCTTCAAAAACACATAATCAGGTCATATATTCAACAGACCTCAATTATGCTATCCACAACTCCCAAGATATGGGCTATTTCGTTCTGGTTTCTATTTTACAGTTTACAAAGCCTATTCATACATATATTATTCAATCATCTCAACAACTCTATGAAATAGTTTGGGCATGTATTATTATCCCTACTTTAAAGAGGAGGAAACAAAGGTTCAGAAAGTTAAGGACTTGCCCAAGACCACACAATCAGTTAAACATCACGTCTTCTAAGTGCAAAGCTCGTGCAGTTTCTGTTATAGAAAGATGAAGTACAGGGGAGCCACTCTCACTCTCTGTCCTGATAACATAAAGAAAACTGTAGCTTCGGGTCCTTTGAGTACATGCTCTTTATAACAACTGTCCCACCTCTGTGGCCCACACGAAGTCCAAGAGAAGCTTCTGATGCTCCTAAATCAGCATTTTTTTAATCACCCTTTTTATCAAGGGAGGTTCAGCCCTAGGCAACAGCTTATACAATTGGCTAGGAAGAGAGATTATAAACAAGGAAACCATGTACAAATGTTGAGATTCTGTGTCTTTAAAATAATCAATACATGTACTTATACTTTTTAAGAACACACTCCCCCACATCCAAATTTACTTATTTTACAAAGTGATTCACCATGAGATTTCTTTAAATAACCATCTAGTCTAAAAGCCACTTAAGGGGCCGGACCCGTGGCCGAGTGGTTAAGTTCGTGCACTCCGCTTCAGTGGCCCAGGGTTTTGCTGGTTGGGATCCTGGGTGTGGACATGGCACCATTTGTCAGGCCACGTTGAGGCGGCGTCCCACATGCCACAACTAGAAGGACCCGCAACTAAAATATACAACTATGTACTGGGGGGATTTGGGAAGAGAAAAGAAAAAAAAACCCAGAAGATTGGCAACAGTTAGCTAAGGTGCTAACTGTTTCAAAAAAAAAGAAAGCCACTTAAGTGTGTCATGTATATACAGAGTAGATATACCATACCATACACAGAACCACAAGATACATTACAGCTCTCTTTCTATAAATGACAAAAATGCAATCTGGAGAAGATTAACGTCTTGATAAACATTAAATGTAGCTGAAGTGAAAACCATGCTCAGCTAGACATCAGGGGAACCAAAATTAAGCCTCAGGCCTTTCAGCCTAGACTGTTTTTCACTACACAGTGATACGTCTTATCAGCTCAGGACAGGCTCCTTATCCCTCCTTTTTTACAGTCAGTGAGGAAGGCTGCCCATATATGAAATTCCAAAGAGGCAGGAAAGAGGTGAAAGGGAAAGAAGCCAGGCTCTCTATTACTATTAGACTGGTATGTGGTGTTGGCATTATCTCTCAGCTATTATTAAGCTAAAAGTGGTGGTGTGGTATGGATGTCATGGGCCGGGGAGGGCGGCAGGGGGGGCCAGAGCAGAGGGAGTCTGCCTGGAGACACAGAGGTTCCAGTTCTGACCCTGCTAACCCGCCTCAGGGGGCATTTCATACCTTAGGCCTTAGTTTCCTCGTTTATTATTCATTTAATTAACAGTCCTCTTGAGTACCTACGATGTGCCGGGCACTGTTATAGGTCCTGGGGACATGACAGGGAGTGAAACAGAAAATTCCTACTCTCTCAAAGCTTACATTCTAGTTGGACTAAAGCAATGCAGATGATAAATACGTAACATGCAGGCAATGGTATTAAGAATCATGTGGCTATCAAAACTGAAATTAAATAAAACTAAAAATTCAGTTCTTCTTTCACTAGCCACACTTCAAGGGCTCAATAGCCACATATGGCTAGTGGCTACCATGCTGGAGAATGCAGGTACAGAACATTTCCATTATCACAGAAAGTTCTATTGGACAGTGCCGAGAGAGCGCGATGGGGAAGGGATGTTATTTTAGACGGAGTGTTAAGGAAAAGCCTCTCTAATCAGGAGACTTTTGAACTGAGACCTGAATGAAGTGAGGGAGGGAGTCAAGTTACTATCTGAAGGAAGGGCTTCCAAACAAAAGAAAATCAGCTATTTGTGGTATTGTTGTAAACACATCATTTAAAGTCCCTTTCAGTATGAAAATGTTGATTCAAAGTTCCTCAAAAAATGGTTTGAGGTTTTAGTTTTATTAGAATAAAGCACAGTACAGAAGAAATGAGAATGGGGCCAGCCTGGTGGCATGGTAGTTAAGTTCACGTGCTCCGCTTCAGTGGCCTGGGGTTCACAGGTTCAGATCCCAGGTGTGGACCCACACAACGCTCACCAAGCCACGCTGTGGTGGTGTCCCACATCCAAAGTAGAAGACGACTGACATGGATGTTAGCTCAGGAACCATCTTCCTCAAGCAACAAGAGGATGATTGGCAACAAATGTTAGCTCAGGGCCAATCTTCCTCACAAAAAATAAAAGGAAGAAAGAACAGTAATTCCATTTCTGTTTTGCAGAAAGCAATGCTTCCATGTGCTGCCTACTCCCTTTTTAAAAGCACTTACTAAACACTCACAACATTAGAAACAAGGAATAGAGAACATGTTTGCTTTAGTTTCTTTAAGTCAGACAACTGAATATTTTGAACTTCCTAAGCCAAAATTCCTTCTGACTCTAACATAACTCTAAAGGCTTTTGTCAAGCTCTTTCTTGAAAGCTAAACTCTCCCGTTCCCAAATCCACTGAATGCCTCTCAATTTATTACCATCACTTACTCCCTTCATTAGGAACTGAAAAGTTATTTTTTTAGTGATGCTTAAGCATGTTAGATTAACCAGGTGAACTACCATTCAGAAAGAATGTGGCCCCATGGCTGCTAAATCTGTAAAGCAATACACAAATCTGAAGCAATAAGCCTAGGAATTACCTTGCCAGTCAGAAAGTACCATGCTCACCGTTTCATATCTTAAATCCCAGGGCTCTCATGCACTCCTTGTGGGCCTCAATTAGGTGTCCACAGTGCTCTTCTCCTTTCTCCATGATGCTATAAAACAAAATGCACTTGTTATCTAACAAAGTAGGCATTAAGCACTTTCCTAGTAAACAAGCGTGCATGATAGTGACGGGGAGTGAGGCAGAACATGGGTCTGACAGAACAGCTGGAGTTTTAAAAATGCTATTACACCAAATGGCTTTGTTTTTATTGGTTCTTGTGATATTTCCATGCTCATGAAGATGTTCCACAAATACCTAGTTTTTTGAGGGGGAATCTGAGTAGAAGAAATAATTGTGTATGGCAAATATTGCCTCTCGTCTACATCCAAGGAATAATAAGGCTCTACAATGAAATGAACTGACTGAATAAAATATTTATGTTCAATGAAGGACAGAAAGAAGAGCTTAATTTTTTGCCTGCTATCATATTGGAATTAAATTTTTGATTCTGCCCCACATTGAAATGCACCTAAGTAAATCTAATTCTAATCACAAGACACCCAAAAACATAAACAGCAAAAAAGATCTGGCAGCCAGGAGCAGCCTGATGAGCCCTCCTTGTAAGGATCAAAGAACTTTTTATGTGTAAAATTCACAAAGCAAAGACTAGGACCGCACAGTTTTATTTGTAGGGCCTGAAAATGCAATTTTAGCAAAGTTAAAGCCAAAATTCAAGTACAAGAAAAAACTAGCTCCTGATCATAGATATTTGGGGAGAAGCTATAGTGGTCCGAAGCAATAGATGCAAAAAGAATTTAAAGAAAGGTTCTCCTTCCAACTAATCCTACACATCCCTCAACAGCTCCAGGGCTGCCTGCAAATGAGAACGACTGTCTGGGACAGCGGGCTCCTTAGGAAGATAATAGCTAACATTCCCTGATCATTTATCGAACGCAGTAAATATTGTGCTAGGCACTTGATGTGGCTTTTAGCATTAACCCGTACAATAATCCTGGCGGCAGATACTTTCCTTAGGTTCATTTTACAGACATATGAGGCAGATATGTTAAATAACTTGCTCAAGGTCACAAGGTTGGTGGACCAGGACTCAAACCTTGACTCTGGATCCCAAGCTCTTAATCGTGATCCGGTAATACCCAAAGGTTCAATAAGCACTAACTGTTACTGTGGAAGCAATTTCAGGATCAGATTACAATCTTTCAGTTCTCCCTTCAGAGTCTTACTTGCAAAGTACTGAATATTAATAGAAAGCACTGAGTTCCTACAACTCTTATTACCCCCACTATGCCACTTAGGATTTTTTTTTTATGTGAAGACCAAAAGGGGCTGGAGGAAGAGGGTACATTCACATTATCTGAGGATTCCTTCTACTGAGATTTGTTCCCCAACTGAGGCTGTATAAAATGAGAACAAACAAATTTTGTGGATTGATGGTAACCTACATGTACTACAGGTACTCTGAACACTATGATGTCACCTATGTCATGACTGGTTGATTTTTAAATCATCTAGCTAAAAAGGGGGGGGGGGGGTTCAGCACCGTAAGAAACGTACCCTGTGTCCTACCGATGTCTAAGTTTGGGGAGAAATTACCAGAAAACTTTTACTCTTTGGTCTTGCCAAATCTTCTATCATAGCCCTTACCACGTGGTATAGCAATCATTGGTATACGTCTCCGTTAACTTTTAGCTCCTTTAAATCAAGCAGCATCTTTATCCACTTAGGTCTTCGGACCTAACGCAGTGCTCGACACATAACAGATGCTCAGAAACCCTCTAGAGGAAGGAAGGAGTGGGCGAAGCGAGCCACAATCTGACCTCTCCCCACCCTTCATCCGTTCCCCGGGCTTCGTCAACGAGACAGCCCACCGCGCAGCCTCCGGGGCCCACAACCCTCCCGAGTGCCGCAGAGCAATGCGAAAGCCCGGCCGAGGCCGAGCGCGAGGCCCGCCAGAGGGCGGAGGGCGGAGGGCGGAGGCACCGGCGGGCGGCGCGTAGGCCGCCGGCCCCCATGCCGCCTGCGCACTGACCACGCATCGCGCGCCTTCTTCGTCTCAGGGCAGGCGCAGCAGGGCTTCAGCGGCTTCTTCTCCTGCGAGTCAGACGGGGCAGGGCCTTGGGCGGTCAGACCCGGCATCTTTCGCGCCAAAAGCAGCGACTAGCACAGACACCCGAAACTCTCCAGGCTCCGCCGACGCCGATTCGTCCGCAGTCACCTCCGTCAGTCGCTCTAAAGGGGACAGGAAGTCCTGCCTCCCTCGGAAGGGTGGGGTGGGGCAGAAAGGATGGAAAGGGCGCATGCGCAGAAGAGGCTAAATCAAGGTAGTAATGTGAGCGCGCCTCTTCAGCGCAGGCGCAGAGAGACAGCTTAAAAGAGCACGGAGCGTTAGTAAACCAAGTTGGGGGGGACTCACGAAGGCTAAGAATACAGTAGTAAAACGTCTCAGAGATCTCTCAACCCAACCATCCACCGTGAATGTCGAAAACTGAAGCCCGAGAAGTGAAATGACTTGTCCACGCTAAACAAGAGAAAGAAACCACCTGTGACAGCCAGGTCCCCTTGAGTAACAGATTAGCTCCCCGTGTCTCATGCTGGGGCAGTACCGGCCTTCTTCCTGCCCCCTACTATCTTTCACTTACCTAGTTAAAAATGAGTAGCAAAGACGTTTGAACAATCCAATCCGCCAGTGTTGGAAAAAAATTCCTCCACCACCCTCAACCTCACCCCATACATTTGAAATCCTCAGCTAATGGTGTTTATAGCCCCCTCTCCAACTGATTTGATTTCAGTATGAATTGTTTAATTGTAGGGCAAAATATGGGTTAATAAAACAAAAATGCCTTTTCCTTGGCATTTCTCAAATTCATTTAGGTAGATATGTAAACTGGTGCCTACCTTATTTGCAATAGAATGAACATAATCATTGTTTTTTTTCCTGCAGAGAATTATTAGAGAAAGAAAACTTGAACTTTTGTTAATGATTTTTTTTTTCAGGGGAAGATTCACCCTAAGCTAATATCTGTTGCCAGTTTTCCTCCTTTTTCCCTCACAAAGCCCCAGTGCATAGTCCTGTATACTTGTAAATTCTTCTGGTTCTTCTCTATGAGCCGCTGCCACAGCATGGCCACTGACAGAGAAGTGATGTGTTTCCACCCTGGGACACGGAACCCAGGCGCCAAAGCAGAGGGCCCTGAACTTTAACTGCTGGGCCATTAGGGCTGGCTCTGAACTTATTTTTTAAAGCAAGACTTTGAGGCATTGTTCAAAAGCTACCTGGTGATATATATCTTGGGTAATTAAACTTTCAGCATCACCTCACAGAAGTTTGTTTCTGTATTTCACGGCTTTAGCTCAGGAAATCTATAGGTGTGTCTGTGAACTGGTGCTGTATAGGAATAATTTCTATATGTGTATTTTTCAAGTTACTAAGAATATCTCCATTTTGTCATCTAAAAACTTCTAATAAGCATGATTTTTACTTCATTCTGGATGATTGATATGTTTAATAATACAACACATTGCCCTTATGTTCCCCTAAACTCACCCTTATCCACTATTCTCAGTTCTTTCAACTAGGTGTTCACTCTCGTTGTTTAGTATCTTGCTACTCAAATAGTGCTTCTTGGACTAGTAACATCACTTGGAAACATAATATATAATAAACGGGGTACAACAAATCAGTGGGGAAAAGAAAACAGACTAACTGGAGAAGATTAAACACCACATCAAAAGGAGGGGCTCTGGATGCATTAAAGGTCTACATGTGAAAGGTTAAGCTAAGAAATTAATAGGTGAATAGAAGAGAAAACCCGAGGCCAACACTCATAAGAGCTGTTCCAAAATAGTACTAATCATAGAAATGGATAATAAAACAACAATGAGGCATCACTTTACACCCATTAGACTAACAAAAATTAGAAAACTAGATCATGCCAAGTAGCAGTGAGGATGCAGGAATCCTCCAGGTTACTGTCAGGAATGCAGACTGGTCCTGCCATTTTGGAGGGCAGTTAGACGGTATCCAGTTAATTTAAGAATAGGTGCATATCCTATGATGCAGCATTTCTATTCCTGGATCTATATTCCAAAGAGCTTCTCAGCAAGTCCATAGGGAACATGTATGGGGATAATCGTCACAGATGTCTCTGTGGCAGGGAATTGGAGGCAACCTGGGCACTCATCACTGAGGAAGTAGACACGGAAATGTGGAGTACTGGGCACAAACTAGAAGAAATTGACAACCTATACATAGTAACATGGACAAATTTTTAAAATAGTGTAGGTAGTGGGAAAAAGTAAAAAAGAGAATAGATACATAACCCAATATTATTTACATAATTTTTAAGAAGGAGTAAAAAATAAAAATACACATAAGAACACATACATGTGAAAAGAGTTGCTTTAAACAGTCAGAATGGTTGCCTATGAGGGGAGGCAAGTGGGGCTGGAGAATGGGGATAAATGAAAATAAATAAAGTGAACTTGCAGGGGCCAATGGTGATAATGTACCATGCACAGAGGAGGATAATTAAGTCGGCCACCTGCACCTGAAGAACAAGGAAACCTATAATGGTTGCATCCCGCTAAATGTAGTTGGAAAACACTGCTTTATGGGGTAGAAATTGAATTTCATTATTTTAATATCCTCTTTCACTATACTTTCAGGAGGTGTGGAACAAAGTAAGTTTCATTCTCAGGGCTTAAGCTTCTTCCTTGCTTTTAAGTAAAAATAATCATTTTTTCATAAGAGATGTGAATTTCTAGATGATGTGCTGTCATCTTGTCATGTTCATTTTGGTCCCCCGACAGTAGTTAGCACATGGTAGACACAGCATAAAGGCTTTTTACTCAGACAGATTATTCCCAATAAAGCTTCATTTTGCCCTGTTGCTGCCAAGAATCTAGAAAGGTTTTTTTTTTTTTCTATAGAAAGATCTCTCTTATCTTAAATAAGCAGAGAAACAAAAAAAAAAAAGAAAAAAAAAACCGTTGTTTGAACTGATTTTCCCTTCTAGTATTGTCTGATAACTCTTATATTGCATTGATAATTCTTAATAGAGAAGCCATATTTTTAAAAATGTGCTCACTCAGAATGTATAATCAGTAGAAATGACAACAGAATCTTTAGCTACAATACTTTCCATATAGGTAGAAGTGTTGAGTTTGTGAACTATCATTTAATCTTCACAGCAGTTGAACTTATTATTTACATTTATAGATGAGAAAGTTGAGGTTCCGAGATGGACATGATTTGTTCAAGGTCACATAACTTGTAAGTGGCAGCCCTGAGTCTCAACATCTTCTCCCTCTAAGGTCTGTGTTCTATCTATGTACTATCCCACTTAATTTATCTAAATGCAAGGTGAATATTTCTTATTTTACAACTTATCGTTGATCTGTATTTAATTGTGCTGCTGAACTTTTGTGTCTAGGAAATGAACAAGGAAGAAAAGAGAAAGAAATATCTAAGAAAGTTTAGGGAGTTAAGGGAATTAAGATAAACTGTAGATACAGATTATAGACCAAAAGGCTGAAACAGCCTTTCTGCAGTTAAGAAAAGATTTTGCTCACTTGCCTCCCCTGCTTCAGTGAAGAGAGAGTACTTGCAGTGACAACACTTGCTGTGACTTCCTCAGGGTAAGCTAGTATCCACAGGCCTAAGACAGAAGTTAGCCCCTTGCCTAGTCCCACACTTCTTTAATCTGCTACGTTCAAGATATTAACAAGCCCTTGGTTTCCTTCCTGAGGCTGTGACTCTCACTTAAACTCTTTCAACAGCTGCTTCTTCAGGATGGAATATTATCCTGCCCTTGAGAAAAGGACCAAAAGATACTCCTTTCCAAAGTGAAATATTTAGTCCTTTATATCCAGCTACTTAACTCTCCTCTTATTTCAGAATGGTGCAGTAACACACAGGAGTTAATTTTTCTTCTGCCTTTTAATTTATGAATAAGTTAGCTTTAAGGTCAGCTACTGACTTTTATATTAACATCATCCTTTACTTTTCTTACCCAGCTGAAATGCCTTAAGACTTGTGTCATGGCCTGTCTTAGTATTAAAGGAAAAACAGGAGTATAAAACAATGAAACTTAGTGTTTCACACTCTACCCCAAGAAAAACCTCAATAACCCACTTCCCACAAGAAGAACACAACAATTTTAGAGAGCTGTCCTTAGAGGTTAAAAAGTTGAGAGTAGGTGGCACGTGGGGACTACATAATGTAAGACTGGATTCAACCACCTGTTTTACAGAGGCAACTCTCAGGTTAGTTTGATTAGTATCTTTTGTATCGAGTTCTCGCTTCCTAGTTCCGATTTTAACCAGCAAAACTTTACAATTTTAAGCCTCTGGGGCTCTTTGCTATTGCTATAATTGATACATTAGTAAGCTGCAAGAGTTGAAATGGTGACTGTAATGAACGTTTTCATAGCACAGTGAATGTTTTTGTATGGTACTGAATTGAGGACATTAGCTACACATGGCATCAAGCAGTCATCCTGTGGATGGGATGACAGCCCTGGTAATGTAACAAACTAAGGAAATACTTTCTAAAATCTCTCTGTGGTAAAAGTGTTCTTAGCCGTTGTTTATGTCTGACTAACCACAGGGGTGGAGCCTTTACCAAGTAAGGGTGGCTAGTTGAGGCTGGTAGAGAAGGAGTGACACCATATGCTGAGAGAGGAGAATTACAAGGCTCGAATTCTCACTTGCCTAGTTAATAGGTTCAGAGGGAACTTTGTATAGCATTTACATTTCTGCCCGGTAAAAAAAAAATGATTTCCAATTTCCACAGGTAAAAATGTGCTATACTTCATTCGCTATAGTTTTTCAAGAACTCTGAGAGGCAGGAAGCCTTACCCTGTTTGCCTGCCACAGTTCCATGTAGCCAGCAAACTGCCAGGTCAGAGATGAAGGAAGTTTATTACTCACAGCAGAAGCAGCAAAGTCTTGGCATTTTTGTGCCAGTTCCCTGAGCCTCAGTTCCCACAGGGTGACATGAAGAATGCCAGATGACATCTGCATACACACTGAGTTGCATCACAGGAAATGGACAGTGAGCTTAGGAAACCCAAAGCTTTAATAACAGGCAGTAAGAATGTCTGCCCTTTGCTCAGAGGGAGACACTGTCTCTGACTTTTCAGGCCGTAAGCAAACATGCCCTTTGTTCCAGAGGGTCTCTATCTTCCAAGGTTGTTTCCTACACACATAAAGGAACAAGGGCAGACGGGGCGTACCCCCTTGTAAGACAAGCAGAAACATGAGAGACCCGTGGAGAACTGTTTCCCAACAAGCCAAAGTATAACTTTCATTTTAATGAAATTTTATTAACTAGCACCGCTCTCCAATATCAGAGTTTCTTCTACACAAGTAAATTAAAAGACATAGGACCTAATTTCAAAAAGGTTGCATATTAGTCATTTCTTGCTGTGTAACAATATTACTGCAAATCTAGTGGTAACACACATTGATTATTATCTCACAGTTTCTATAATCAGGAATCTGGCATAGCTTAAGTGGACTCTCTGATTAGGATCTCACAAGACTGCAATCAAGATTTTGGTTCAGACTGTGGTCTCATCTGAGGTTTTACTGGGGACGGATATGGTTCTAATCTCACTCAGACCATTGGCAGAACTTCAGTGTCTTGCAGTTGTAGGACTGAGGGATATGGTTTTTTGCTGGTTGTGGGTTGGAGGCCACTCCCAGCTCTTGAGAGGCCACCTGTAGTTCCGTGCCATGTGGGGTTCCCCAGCATGGCCACTTGCTTCCTCAAAGCCAGCAAGGGGGAGAATGAGCAACTCCAGCAAAATGGCCACTACAGTCTATGTAAGACAGTCATGTAGTCACACATATCCCCTCACATTTGATGTATTCTGTTGGTCAGTGTCTTCTGATATGTTTATGGAGGAGGCTGGCTGTTGACTATTTCAGATAATTTATCTGACAGAGTGAGGAAAATTCTTTTTGGGGAGGGGAAGTTTTAGCTGAGACCTCAAATGGTGAGTCAGCAGTGAGAAGATGGAGGTGGGGGTGAGGAACATTCTGGGAAGAGGAACAGAAAGTGGGAAATGGAGCTATACCCACAGACAGAAAAATATTATCATACTATTAAACATTGAAATTTATTTGTTTCTGTCTGTTTTCTCCCTCATCCAGTGAGCTGTACAAATTATCTCAGAAGCTTCAACACCTATTTCACAGTAGACAATTTGTTTAATAAATGGATGGATTTACTAATTCAGAAATCACTTTATTAAGCTTTTATTTACCAGGTACTTCAGAGATACAAAACGACCATGGGAGGGCCTGTGCCCTCAGTGAACGCACAGTTGTGGGAGCAGAGTTGCAAACAATTACTAACACAAGGTGGTCACTGTTATTGGTGCTACCACAGCATGGAAGAAAGAATGAAGCCTCGCTCTATTGGGGGATTGGGGAAACTTAACTCAGCTTGGCAAAGTTAGTCCTGAGTCTTGAAGGATACCTAAATTAGTTGCGGGGCATAAATAGGAAAAAGGCATTTTAGGTAAAGGAATCAGCTTGAGCAAAGACTTGGAATGACAAAGTATACGGCTGGTTTGCAAAAATCCCAAGAAGTTTAGGAGTAGAGAAAATAAAACCAGGGGCATGTGTGGAAAGAGGAATGGCAGGCCAGGAAGCTTATTCAAGAAGTGTCTATGGATCACATGAAAAGGATAAAGAAGATACAGAAGCCAACTCTAAGGTGTGCCATAGCCTAATGGGATAATTTGAGCATCATAAAGAATAATGACCATAGTGGATTAAAACACATCACATATGGAAAAATGCATGAATTCATAATGATACTAAACAACCATCAAAACATTAACATTGGAGATTGCTAGGGCACCAACTCAGTTCACTGAAATTTGATAATTAAACTGAAAGAATCCAGCATTTAGCCAGTCTTTCCTCTATTATCCCCGTATTTCAGTATAACCAGAGTTGCTGAAAGTTCTTTTTATCGAGGAACCCCAGGTAATAAAGAAAATTATTGAAAGTATTAGAAATCCACCATTCTAGGATAAAGGACTTAAGAGACATATCAAAATGCAATGTCAAGACTTGTTTTTGGATCATTTGATCAGAACAAACCAACTATTAAATGACACCTTGGACTCAACCAGGGAAGTTTGAATATGTACTGAGTATTAGAGATGAAGGAATTATTAATTTTGTTAGAAATGATAATGGTGGCTAAGTTAAAAAAAATCCGTGTTTGAGATGCAGATTAATTTAAGGGTAAAATATGATGTCTGGGATTTGTTTTAAAATATTCAAGCAAAAAGTGGGGGAGGGGATAGATGATATTTGATTGGTAAAAGGTTGATAATTGTTGATTGTTGGTGGTGGGTACCTGAGGGTTCATAACTAAAAGTGGATTCACTTTTGCCCATGTTTAAAATTTTCTACAATAAATAAAAAGCAGAGTCAGTGCACACAACAGTCATCTTCAGCTGATTTAATGCCCAGGGCTCAGTAAGGGGTACCAGTCTGCGGACCAATACTTACTAATTACTGAGCCCACTCTTGGATTCCTCAGCTAGCAGAAGCCCCGCGGAAAGGGGATGTCCGAAATGAAAGCCCCAACTATTCTAGAAGGTTCTGAGATTTCCCAGGGATTTCCGAAAGCGGCTACGGAGTGTAACTGGAAAATCGCTACTGGATTTGAACAGCAGCCTTTTCCCCAGCCTCCGGGGCCCCGGCGTTGACGCCGCCTGGGCGGCTGAAAGCTCGTGGCTCCATCTCGGGAGCATAGCGGGAAGCAAGGCTGTCCCTTCACGTCCCCCTCTTCTCCGACCCCTTTACCTAACCTTTTCCTCCTCTCTTTCCTCCCCCCCCCCCCCGCCCTCCCCCCCCTGCTCTTTCCCATCCTTCCTCTCCCACGCCTCGCCCCACCCCTACCTTATCTCACCGGCTCCTCCACGCCCACGCCAGCCCGGCCCCTCCCTTGTCGAGCCCCGCCCCGTACCTTCGCTCAGCCTCTCCTTTCCCGTTCCCCGCCGCACCTCGCTTCTCCTCTCTCACGCCAGCCCCGCCCCATGCTCGCCCCGCCCCGTATCCCGGCGCTTACGTAGGTTACCATAGTTACGGTGCAAGCAGCCGCTAGGCCTCCCTAGTTTTCCCCGGCTGGCGGGAGGGAAGAGGCGGCAGCATGAGCCACGTAGTGACCATCGAGGAGCCCCAGGCCAAGCCAGACGTGTCTCAGCCCCGGTGTGGGGTGAAGTCGGGGGCCTGGGGCCACGTCTCCTCCAGCCGAATGTATGATTTCCTGTATGGTAAGGGCGGCCCCAGACCTCCCTACTGAGTTGTCGATTCCTGAGCCAGGTGGGCTTTGAGACGGTGGGACCTGGCCAGGGGCGCAGGGGACGAAAGACGAGCCTCAGGACGGATCCCTTACCCGCTGTTGTCCTTTGTTGGGTGGGGGCAGCTCCGAGCCCTCCAGGTGGCGGCGCTCTCGGGGTAGCCTCGCAGCCGCCGGGGCGCTCTGCGTCTCGGAGCTTGGCGAGAGACTGTCTTCCTCTTCACACCCTCTTTTCCTGACAATTTGCGCAGCCCATAGCCATCTTCCTGAAACCTGTTCCAGGCGTTTTGGTACCCAGAAAAGTATGCAATGATTTGGAGACTTGGAGATTCCCCCAACATTCCCGCGTTCAAACTGCATAAAATGCCCAACAGGAATGACCTTCCTGCTCCCATTCTCTGGGAAACTCCAAATTTGGCATTGTAGGTAAAGAAGTGCCAGTTTATCTCACTTTTGTTTTTAGTTTTCTCTTTTTCCTTAAACTTATTCTTATCCATCAAAGCATTACTTATAAACTAGGTCCACTGTGTCCTTTTGGGCCAATAAAGCCCCAGTGTATTTTATTTTATTGCTGAAGAAGATTCGCCCTGAGCTAACATCTGTGCCAGTCTTCCTCTGTTTTGCATGAGGGTTGCAGCCACAGCATGGCTACTGAGGTGTAGGTCGGTGCAGGGATGGACCCAGGGCTACCTAAGCGGAGCCCGAGTCTGCTGCCAGCACCCCCGCCTCCCACTCCCCCACCCCTCCCCCCCGTGTATTTTACTGCCCTGATTGACCATTTATGTTGTCTCTTCTACAGGATCTTAAGTTGCTTACACTCTTTAAGTTCCTGTTCTATACATTTTTGTAGCCTTCTCAGTATCTATTCCAGTGCTGGTGCGTATGCTAGGTGTTTCATAAATGTTTTATTGAATTTTTGAATTTGCTATTACAAGAATTATAATCAGGTAAGCATGATTTTTTTCCAATTTTGCCCTCAGTAGTCCCATGCTCTTCACTTGAACTTTCCATTGCTTTTAACAGTGTGGTATCTCCTCTGGGATTCCCAGGGTCTCCTTTTGATGGAATCTGTAGGCTGCCCATTTCCTGGTGTAGGGGCCATGAATGATTGCTTGTATATTCTCACCAGTGCTTTTCTTTATTCCCTTTTGGTTTCATCTTGTGAAGTAAATCTAGTAAACCCCTATAAACACATCACCATGTTTGCTTCAAAGGTAATTTGGAAATGGGGATAGACATCTTCAGGAAAGACAGGCAAAGGATTTATTAAGCTTCTTGTTTCTTTTATTCCTGAAAGTATCTCTTTTTTTTGCAGAGAGATTGCTAAATGTTTCCATGTCTCTTGCAAGGAACAAAAATCCTCTCAGAATAGGTCAAATGACAATTTGGATTGTTCTAGTTAAACAGGCAGCATCACAGCCATTCGTGGACAGGAAGCATAATGTAGCCAGAACCGACCAGAGCCAGGACAGGAAGGGTCAGTGCTGCTCAATTCCTTGGACCTTATGGTCTTTTACCCTCTTAGGGTTGCCAGATTTAACAAATAAAAATACAGGATGCACACTTATATTTGAATTTGAGATAAATAATGAATAATATTTTAATATAAGTTTTTAGTCCCATGCAATATTTGGGACATATGTATATAAAAATCATTCATTGCTTATCTGAAATTCAAATATAACTGGGTATCCTGTATTTTAGCTGGCAACTCTAATCCTGCTTCTTTCTGCACATATGCTTCCTTCTTCCATCTGACAGAAACTCGTTATGTGTGGATTTCTCTTACTATCACAGGGACTAGGGCGTCACTCTACGTGACCTCTTAGCTTTAGAGCTCACCACCAGTTATATAGAGTCCTTGTGTATCATAGCTGAAAATTAAAGAGAGAAATAAGATACGTTATTGGCCAGCCAATGAGTTGACTGGCTTGGGTCAGATTTCCATCCTGACAGAAGGGTGGTGGGGTGGGTGTGGGGATCGACGGTACAAATATGGACATCTTTCCAAAGTTACAGTTAACATCATTCTTTTATAGATGTTACCTCACTTATACACCATTTTGCATTTTACTCACTTTTTGTAAATGCTTTGTATCTCTCAAATGCCTCTCTTGAAATGCCCACCAAACTTTGTCACTTCCCTGAATTTGTATATTTGTTGATGGATTAATAGCTACATTACTGTCCTGATAATTAAAGTCTTTTAAATTGAGGATATATTTTTCCTAGCCTCCAAAAATGTTTTAGAATACCTTCTAGGTTTATTATGAGCTCTTTACTCCTTTCTTTTCCCCCAGAATCTGCAATTATTATACTGTCCCCTAAAGTCACCATTATGTCTTAGGGTTTGAAACACATCCTCTTTGTCACTATTACTTGGTCGTGACAACTTCCTGGGTTTCTTAGAACTGTTTCTACAATATGGGTAAATTGGCTGAGGGGCTTTCTCATGATTTCCTTGGGAAAGTCTCCCCCATAAAATTCATGGGTTGTTGATAACATTAGGCCTGGGAGCCGGAAGAATTGGAGTTCAAATCTTAACTGCCCATCAGTAAGTTGTTAACTTCTTGAAGCCTCAGTTTCCTCGCCTATAAAAAGGAGGCCTCGGCCTACCTCATTGGGGTTTTGTGAGGATTAAATGGAATATTGCATATAAAGAACTTAATACCTGTCTAGAAGTAAGCAAGTGATATTTGGCGACCACTATTACTTGGGCATCTCAGAGGCCTTTCTACTGCCTTTTGAGCACTGATTATAATCACAGTTGTAGGATTTGTTGCAGACTGTTTAGTCACAAATCATACAGTATTGTGGCATTATCTTCTGTAGATGGCAAGTTTCTGTAGATATCATGTCTTCACACTCCTCATGGGAATAAGAGGAAAGTGGTTTATTCAGACTTAGGGGAAATGCAGGCTAAACTAGTTTCTGAGGAACAACCAGTGATATCTTTTAAATCACTTAAGAGTATAAATAGAAATTTCCCCTTGTTCCATTCTATTCCCAATATATCAGAGATGTTGAAGCTGTGTTCTTCCTTCTCTTTAAACAGGTGCATTCATTCTGCCTTCGAATTCACTAGCCTATAATTTCAGGCCATAAAATCTGGCCTCTTCATTCCTAATCAGCTCAGTTTTCATCACTTCTCAACCCGAATCATAGATGTGGATTTGGGTGATGCAGCTGAAGAAGAATATATCTAAAGGCTGATGATTCTCAAATTTAAATCTCCAGTCTAGACTTCTTTCCGAAATTCTAGACTTCTGTATCAAATTGCCTACTTTATATCACCACTTGAACATATACTAGACATCTGAGACATGCTTCCCTGATGTTCTCCACACAAGTTTTCCTATATCAGTGATGCCAACCCCACCCTTTAGTTGCTGAATCCAAAAATCTTGGAGCCGTCATTGCCTCCTTTATGTCTCTCACACCTTCCAATCCATTAACAAGTCCTTTCTGCTCTGCCTTAAAAATATATCTAAAATCCTGTCACTCTCCATCACTTCTGTTGCTACCACCATATGCAAACCACAATCATCTCTTCTGCATTATTCATGAGCCTCCTCATAGGTCTCTCTGCCTCTTCCATGCTTCCCTGCAGTCCGTTCTTAACGGGGCAGCCACAAGGGACATTTTAAAATATAAATCAGATTTTGTCACCCCTTGCTTCAGAATCTTGCAATACTTCTCCGTCACCCACCCTCCTCTCCTCTTTTCATTTTTACTAGCACTTATTACCCTCTAACTCTTACATATTATATAATTTGCTAATTTGTCGCGTTGTTACTTATTGCTTCTCTCTCATGAAGCCAAGGATCTATATCTTTTTTCTGATGTGTTCCAAGCACCCAGAACACAGTGCTGCTCAATAAGTATTCCTTGAATGAAAGAGTAAAGAGAACCCAAGCCTCTCGTAACTTTCACCCTTGGTGGGAATAGCAAATGTCTGCATCCAAAAAATCATTTTTGTGGGGTAAGCGAGGAGTTCTTAGGTTCTAGGAATTGACTCACATTATCTAAATTCAAAAGAGACTTATTTCTAAATCACAATACCAATTTATTAATTGTGTGGAGGAATATGTATTGCCAAGTCATGTAGTCTAGTTGATCAGGGTGTTTGTCTCTTACGAGATGTCTACGTGGGAGATCAAGTCTGTATTGAAGGTTGCTTGTGAATTTAATGTCAAATTGTTTGATTTTAAGGGACGCTATAATCAATCGTGAATATTCTTCTTCACTTCAAAGATATACCTAACGAGCACATACTTATGACAGCAGGGCAGTCTTTTGTTGAACACTGGAGAAAAAACTTAGTCCATCACCAGCACACTTATAAACTTAAGGGGCGAATTCTGAAGATAGATGATCTTATTTATCTCTTATTAGAGAATAATATTCTCTTACCATGTCTACCAATTCTGAGGTGACATGCTGTTAAGAGTTTGTATCTTCCCTGTGTACTGAATATGGGAGGTAGTGCCCAAATTTATTGTTTCTTTCACTTGAAAATTGGCACAGTGTGTATACACATGGTCTTTCCTTTTGAAGTATTTCCTGAACTACCCATACCCAGAAGGTGGTTTGTTTATAGGAGAGAAGAGAGCATGTTTAGGCTATGGTGCTTGAGAACATGTTAGGCCTTCAATTTTTTTTTTTGGTAAGGAAGATTGGCCCTGAGCTAACATCTGTGCCAATCTTCCTCTACTTTGTATGTGGGACGCTGCCAGCTCATGGCTTGATGAATGATATATAGGTCTGCACCCAGGATCCAAACCTGTGAACCCTGGGCTGCCGAAGTGGAGCACATGCACTTAAGCACTATGCCACTGGGCTGGCCCCTGTTAGGCCTTCTTTTTGCATTCCAATTCTATAGACTGACTTTGGAATACACAGAAAAGAAATGCATCTAACAGACTCTTACTGGTGGCAGAGTAACAGGGCTATGAACTGCAGCAGTTAGGCAATGCCTAAATTTTCTAGTTTGTATTCCAATTAAGAAATTACATTGCTTTGCCACTATTCTCAGTCTAGGAGTAGATATGTTCTATTCCTGATAGCACCTTATTGTTTATTTTGCAGATCCATTGTTTATTTTGTCAAGTGAGAAAGACCACAAACAGGCAGATGTCCAAGCCACCATGATTCGAAGCAAACTGGTAGGTCTAATTCATCCACTAAGAAAGCCTAGTGAACTGCAACAGTCTAGCTTGGCTAACTGCACTGGTCAGATTGACTGATCACCAAATCTCCAATGGATTTTATGTTCTGCAGAAATTACTTTGCCATGATTACTAGGGGACAGGGCGTGTTGATACTTGTGGCTCAATGTGAGGGTTAATTGACTAATGGTGAATAAAGGATTCATTATAACCTAATTTATTTCAACGGGAAAAGTAACATATGCCTGTGTTAAAAGATTTCAAGTAGTATAAAAGCATATAGTGTATGACATAAATTCTAACCCTCAGTCCTCTTCACATAATCATCGATTGTCAGCACTTTCTTGGGTATCTTTCCAGAGATAGTCAGTGCATATACCAATAACTCTTCTTTCTATGTGATATACACTGCGTACCTTTTTTAAAGTTTGCAATATAAGTGACATGCCTTAGAAAATCTGACGGTATAATTTTGTCCTTTTCCTCCCTGCCTCGCCGTCCTAATATTAGAGAAAAGTTCCCAGGTTTAGAGCCATGTTCAGTAACCTGATCCATTATCCAAGATATTCTGTATATTGGAGCAAGGCAGATCCCGTCCCAGCATTCGTCCGTCGGGAGTGGAAGGGACAGGAGGAGAAACACAGAGAAGCCCTCCAGCAGCTTGCCACGTAAGTGTCAGGAAGCTTCAGCTGCTCCTGTTTTTAATGAGTGTATTTTTCTTTTTAAAAATTTCTATTTATTTTGCATTATTTAAAAATGTATAATTGTGATGTTATACCAAAGCCAGCTGACCCCAATTCTCTCTCTTAACCCCTTTGACCAAAGCGAGCTTGATTCAGGAGCAGTGGTTATAGATTTATTGGTAAATAGATGTTCTGAGAGGGTTGCAGTGAATATATATATTAAGTGACAATTTGCCAGCAAAAGTAGAGGTGAGTGAATTTGTTGTCCCTTTGATTTATCTTAGAAACTGCAGGTGGACGTTTCTGCTAGTATCTAAATATAATTTTTGGAGACTTGTGGCCAAAGCACCTTCAGAGACAAGTCTCTTGAATTCCTTATTCTTTTAATTATTTACAAGTTCATATCTAGTAAGTTAAAAAGAATTTCTACCTTTCAGCCTGGACATAAAAAGTTGTCTTTTAAAATTTCGTTATTCTTTTTTTTTTTTTTTTAAAGATTGGCGCCTGAACTAACAAATGCTGCCAATCTTCTTTTTATTTTATTTTATTTTTTTCTGCTTTTTCTCCCCAAATCCCCCAGTACACAGTTGTATATTTTAGTTGTGGGTCCTTCTAGTTGTGGCATGTGGGACGCTGCCTCAGCGTGGCCTGACAAGCAGTGCCATGTCCACGTCCGGGATCCAAACCGGTGAAACCCTGGGCCACCAAAGCAGAGTGCACAAACAACCACTTGGCCACGGGTCCGGCCCCAAAACTTTGTTATTCTTATGTGCTATTAATTAAAAGTGGGCATTTTTGTATGCGGGATTTCGTAAATCTACACTTTCCTTAACTCTCACTTCTTTTTGTTAGCTCTCGGTTTCCTGGCTCAGGGAGAATAATTATACCCAGGCTGAGGTGGGGTCAGTCAGGTGCAGTTATAGAAGTCTTTGCTTTCAGTCTGAAATACCCTGTGCATCTCCTGCTTGATAGACATAGAAATATTAGATAGAAACTTTATTTTGAAATGATATGTTAGACTTGAATAATGTTTTCCTGCTTCATTTTAGAACTGACACTTCTTTTCAGATGCCTAAAGAGGTTTATGAAGATCCTGAAGTTACTGGAAGGAATCGTTATAAATATTTTGAAAGGTAGAGTAATTACTAATGAATATAAGATCAGGATTTCCCTATAGGTCTTACCCGAGTTAGAAAAATAGTCTTGATATCATATCTACGTAAGATTCCTTGAGAAAGTAAATTTGTAATCCATATTGTTATTTATGAGCAACCTCCTTATGGAAGTTTTATGATGTTGACCTTTTTCAGGGAAATGTTTAATTCTTAATAAAGTATTCTCCTTTCCTAGACTTTTGTGGGAAATTTTTAAAACTAAATCATTGGGAATTTCAGAAAGTCTTGGGGAACTTGAGAAGTTGCTGGGAGCTAATGGCCAGCTAAAGCCCAAGCATAGGGCACTGTTTCTCAAAGTGTGGCTTGTTTCCCATCTGCAGAGAAAATACTGGAGTGTTTATTAAAAATGCAGATTTATTGGCCCTGCCCTGTAGCTACTGAATCTCCTGAGCTAGACGTGGGAATTTGCGTTTTAAAAAACACTCTCCCCACTCCCCAGTGATTTTGTGTATGCCAAAGTTTGGGGATTACAGTGATACACGGAATTTTCAAGCTCACTGATTTTAAGGGACAAATATTAGAGTTAGAAGAAAGTTCGGAGTTCACACAGTGCAAAAGTCCCACACGGTTGTGTTTTTCTTTCTCTTCCAGGCCTTTCCTTCCATTTTTGGAGCAGATGCCACTGAATGTTGTTTTTGAAACAACCAAGTAAGTAACCATTACTTTAAAACTTTTTTTGCCAGTTTATTTTATTTATTATTTGTTTCCAGAAGCTCTCTAAATCAATATTTTTCAAACTGGATCACAAACCATTAGAAGGTCATGAAATCTTCTAGTGGGTCATGAACAGCATTTTAAAAAATGAAACAGAATAGAAAATAACCAAAAGAATGGAGAATAAGTTATTTTCTGTTTACAACTTTTGTTTCATATAGATATATAATATGTTTATATTATATAATCGTTATGATGTAAAATGTATTTCTTATTATGAGTTATGGTAAAAATAAAAGTTGAAAAAAGCTTTAAATGTCCTCTTTTGCTTCCCTGAAACACATACTTATTTGACAATAGTTCAACATTTTATTAAGAAAACTAATCAGTTATGAAATATTTTTAAATGCTAGAATTTTCGAGTTTAATAATCATCTAACCTACATAAGGCAGTGTCATATACAAAAATAAATGAAACTTGGTTTCTGTCCCATAAAGGGGTGAACCAAGGTGAGAGGGAAGTCAAGGACTAGGGCAGAATCTGGGATAAATGTGCAGTTCCCCAGGCTTTAGTTTTAGGGCAAGGCAGATTAGGTAAAGTATTTCATTAAAAATCTAATTTTTGCTATACTCTTTCCTGTGTTAACATAAATTAATATTTCTAAAGAGAAAAAAATCCAAAGTATTCATGAAATGATCAGGAACAGAAACCTTTTTAAGGTTTCAGATTTCTGAATAGAAATTTAGATAGGGCTTGGCTTTCAAACAAGCATTTAAAGGATGTGGTTACCCCTAATGATATTAGCATCTTATAAATAGGACATATGTTATCAAGTGTCTGTAATGCTCAAGATAAATGCCAATTGTGATCTCGATTCTCCTCTCATTTTAGAAGACTGTATATGGGTACCTTTGGCTTTTATGGGTCGAGAACAGACTCCCTACTCTTCCCTTAGACCGAGCAACTCTGTGTGCTGTCAATTTTCAGACTTGTTTTCTATGAAATGTTTTGTATGAACAAAGGGGGAGCTATGAGACAGATGGATACCTATAGATACCTCTGATCGTTCTTTAAAAGCAGGCCCACTGGATCACCTGATTTGGAGGTCAGAATTACGTCAGGGGTAAAAGTTGTTCAATTAATTGTAGGGAGTTTGGAGACCTACAGTGATGCACAGGGGGCCTCCCCACTCCTTCCTAAGTCACTGTGACTCAGGGAAAAAGATTCCCTCTGAGTGTTAAACCACCACAGTTGAAATTCTAGATAGTCTCTGTCTCTCTGAGAAGTTTTTAAAGAATGAATCAGTATCCCTGAGTGAAGTCACCTCTGGAATTCTGGCAGGGTTGAGTTTCTCAGTGGGGAGGATAATTCCACCCTATGTTAGCAGGGATGGGCTCGTCTGGGGGCCAGCTGACCTTCTCCAGCCATACCCTTTTCATGGCTGGCTGTTGGAGTCTTTACTTTGGACTCTATATAAGCATCTTGGCAAAGAGGATAAAAAATTATTTTCAAAAGATTCAATGGCAGTTTCCAGTCCCACATGTAAGGAGCTTGGAAGTCGCCATTCTGTCCTAACGACAAGTAAAAAGCTGAACAGACTGAAAAATCAACAACTCTCCTTGGATTCATAAGAGAGGGGGAGATCCAGGGCAAACTGCTGCCCCCAAGATTGAAGAGACAGACAGGCGAATACACGGAGCCATGGCTTCCTGGAACAGAGAGACAGAGAGTCATGAGCAGAAACTGCCCCAAGAACCAATCCCAGGTAGGAACACCTGCACTGCAATCAATGAATTGCTTGAAGCTCAGTGTGGAAAACTCTGAGTTAAAAACTCTAGGGGGACTCAGTAATAGTGGGGCCCTCACAGTTTTTTGAGATTTACCTCCAGGAGCTCAACTAGGTTCTCACAGTAAATATCAGAGAAAAATCTTATGCTTCTGGCAGGGGGAAGGGAAAAGAAACCATTTTGAAATATGCTGGAGCACTCAACTCTTAACAAGGCCTGCCTTGGAAACTAGTTTACCAGAGCTTAATCTGCTGGGGTCTTATCAGAATCTAACTGACCTGGAGGAAGGGAAATACCTGAGGATTCCAGCCCCCTCTAGCCATCCTCTCTCACCCAAAGGGGCAGTAAGAAACTGAGAAACACTTATGAAGTTCACAGTCGAGAGGCATTGGCTCACTAAAGGATTGAAATCTAATCATAGGACCATAGATTGCTTTCCCTCCCCCAACACCTTACCACTACATGACTAATGGCCTATTTACAGTAGGCCAGTACATCGTGTCTGACTGTCAAGAAAAAATTGCAAGGCCTATAAAAGGCAAAACCCCCCACAATTTGAAGAGACAGCACAAGTATCAGAATCAGACATGGCAGGGCAGGGATGTTGGAATTATCAGTCCAGGAATCTAAAACAACTATGATTACTATGCTAAGGGCTCTAACAGATAAAGCAGACAGCATGTAAGACCAGACGGGCAATGTAAGCAGAGAGACGGAAATCTTAAGAAATTCTAGAGATAAAAATACTGTAACAGAAATGAATGCCTTTGATGGGCTCATTAGTAGACTGGACACTGCTGAGAAAGAATCTCTGCGCTGGAGGATGTATCAATAGAAACCTCTAAAACTGAAAAGCTAAGAGAACAAAGACTGAAAAAAAAGGGAACAGAGTATCCAAGAACTGTGGACAACTAGAAAGGTGTGACATACATGTAATGGGAATACCAGAAGGAGAAGAAAGAGATAAAAGAGCAGAGGAAATATTGGAAATGATAACAACTGAGAATTTCTCCAAATTAATGTCAGACACCAAACCACAGATTTAGGAAGCTTAGAGAACTCCCAGCAGGATAAATGCCCAAAATCTACACTGAGGTATATCATATTCAAACTAAAGAAAATCAAAGATAAAGAAAAAATGCTGACAGAAGCCAGAGGAAAGAAATACCTATAGAGGAACAAAAATAAGAATTACATCTGACTACTTAGAAACCATGAAAGCAAGAAGACAAAGTGAAATATTTAAAGTGTTGAGAGGAAAAAAAAATCAACCTAGAATTCTGTATCTTGTAAACTATCCTTCAAAAATGAAGGAGAAATTAAGGCTTTCTCAGACAAACAAAAATTGAGGGAATTTGTTGCCAGTAGACCTGCCTTATGAGAAATGTTAAAAAAAAAAGTTACTTAGAGAAAAGGAAAATAATACAGGTCAGAAACTTGGATTTACATGAAGAGGAGAACATTGAAGATGAATAAGTAAAGGTAAAATAAAAACTTTTATTTGTCTAAATTGATCTAATAGTTTGTTCAAAATAATAGCAACAATGTATTTGATTATGTATGCATATATATATCTTATGTATCTCTCTCTCTATATATATATGCTTGTGTATGCTTATATATAAATGGAATGAATGACAGCAATGATAAAGAAATGTTAGGGTGGAATTAGGATTGTTTTGTTATAAGGTCTTCACACTACCCAGGAAGCAACATAGTGTTACTTTAAAGTGGACTTGGATTAGTTGTAAATGTGTCTTGTGAACTCTAGGGCAATCACTAAAAAACGGAAAAAAAGAAATATAATTTATATGCTAATAAAGAAGAGATAATGGAATAATACAAAATGCTCAATTAAAACCACAAAAAGCAGAAAAGGAGTGGGAGACAAAATAGGAGCAAAGAACAAGGGCAACAAATAGAAAGCAGTAACAAATATGGTAGATATTAATCCAACCACATCAGTTATCACTTTGACCATCAATGGTCTTAGTGCACCAATAAAAGACAGATATTGTCAGAGTGGATCAAAAAACAAGAACCAGCTATATGTTGTCAACAAGAAACCCACTTTAAATATAAAGACATATATAGATTAAACGTAAGTGAATGGAGAAAATATACCATGCTAACCCTAATTAAAAGAAAGCTGCAGTAGCGATATTAATTTCAGATGGAGCAGGCTTCAAGGCAAGAAAAATTATCAGGGAAAAAGAGTGGCATTACATTACTGATAAAGGGGTCAATTCTCCAAGAAGACATAATCCTTAAAGTGTATGCACCTAACAACAGAGTATCAAACTACATGAAGCAGAAACTAATAGAATTATAAGGAGAAATAGATAAATCGACTATCATAGTTGGAGACTTCAGCATCTCTCTATCAGAAATAGACAGATCCAGCAGGCAGAAAGTCAGTAAGGCCATAGTTGAACTCAAAAACTTTATCAATCAACTGAATATAATTGCTATCTTTAGACTATTTCATCCAAAAACAGCAGAATACACATTCTTCTCAAGCTCACATGGCACATTCACCAAGATAGACCACATTCTGTGCCATAAAACACACTTTAACAAATGTAAAAGAATAGACATCTTACAATGTTTGCTGTCAGGCCACAATGGAATTAAACTAAAAATTAGTAATAGATAATTGAAACTATGTGGAGATTAAACAGTACACTTTTAAATAAAACATAGGTCAAAGAAGAAATCTTGAGAAATTTAAAAATATTTTGAACTAAGTGAAAATGGCAGTACAACTTATCGACATTTGTGGAGTGCTGTGAAAGCAGTGCTTTGAGGAAAATTTATAGCATTGAATGCATATATTAGAAAAGAAGAAAGATTTAAAATCAACTGTCTGAGCTTCTACTTTGTGAAACTTGAAAAAGAAGAGCTAATTAAATCCAAAGTAAGTGGAAGAAAAAGAGATGATAAGCATTAGAGCAGAAATCAGTGAAATTGAAAACAGGAAATAATAGAGAAAATCAATGAAATCAAAAGCTGTTTCTTTGAAAAGAGCACTAAAATTGATAAACCTCTAGCCAGGCTAACTAAGAAAAAAAGAGAGGACACAAATTACTAATATCAGAAATGAAAGAGAGGACATTACTACAGATCTTATGGACAGTCAAAAGATAATAAAGGAATACTATGAATAACTCTATGACTACAAATTTGATAACCTAGATGAAAATGGC